GAAGGGAGGAAGAGGTGCGAAAAATGACTGCTGGGGCCTGCGCGTCCGGGTCAAAGCTTCATTCATCATGGAGCTGTTGCACAGAACATGCAAGGTTGGCTTTTTTTTTTTCTTTCTCTGAGTGTCGGTGAAAGAGGCTGTAGGGCGACGTGGGGAGCTGTGGTACCGACGAGGCCCTTGTACTACCAAGGTTTGAGCATGCCAAGAGACAGCCAATGCGACTCTGCAAGCTGTATCGGGCGTGGGAATAACGCAGAGTCTAATCGGAGCAGTAACTAACTACCTAGCAGAATCATAAAGCATGACAGGCCGGCCAATGAGTGGCAGTGGCTCTCACTCATCTCAGAGTGGATGCATGATTGGGTACATACTGATTCTAGGCCTCTATGGGAGTTGTGAGAAGAAAGCCTTTGCAGGCTTGTTTCGAGCAAGGCAAGTGTGGAAGATCAGATCTATGAAGGGAAAGATGGAGATAGCAAATGGTACGACTTCTTTCTCTTGCCAAAACTCAGCAGAGTTGATCAGCCAACATGCAAAGCTAATGCCGGTCTGCAGCGTCGAACCTACTTTGGTCCATGGTCTTCTTGTCTCTCTCCTCCACAAACTAACGAAGTACTAACTAACATGCAACGCAGTTGCAGTTGCCGTTGCAGCGGATGGGGGATTTGATTACCTTCCGACCGTTAGCCGAACCCAACATCTCAAACATTTTACGCAACAACGTTGGAGGAGCAGGGCTGAGAGGCAAGCCACCAGCAAGGAGACAGAGCAGGGAGACAAGCAGACCATGGCAGTATGCCAGCGCCTCCCTCTTACCCATCTTTGGTAGGTTTTCGCGGTGTAGCCCCGGGACCCTACCAGGCAGCTATCACTCCGGCCGGAAAATAGGACGGGGTTCCCCGGTAGACCGCTCTGGATCGGGTCGTCTCAACAAAGCGAATGTACGAGCAGATCGACGGACCGCCCCGTGAAAATGCAACGGTTTTGACCAAAAGATGCATGTCTATTCCGAGGGCGTTCTTTTCGGCCTTTCCTCGTCATGATTACGCACCAAGTAGGTACAGGTGCCAAAACAATATTCTGGTCCCGTTAGATTAACTGCAGGGGTGGTGGAAGAAGAACACTGACGACACTACGCCTGCCCCTTGTCAGACATGCATCTGGAGCCTGGAGAAAAAGAAGGAGAAAGAGAAGAGGCCAGCCACGTTGTTTTGCTTATCTTGCAAAAGGCTGCGCAAGGTTGCAGTGCGCGGACCCGAAAGATAGGTCATCGGAGCGCGCCGTCCAATGTAAATGTCATTGTGGCTGGAGGGCTGGACACAATCCCAGGAATCTGGTTTATTACCAGCACATTTCGACCCGACAGACTGTCCTGACAGGACAGCGAGGGAAGGGAAGGACCTCACGAGGCTGATACATGGCACATCACATCACAAACAACCCAAAAATAAAACGGCCAAAAAAAGCCAGGGTGGCTGTTGTTGTCCCTGTCATGACGCAGGCCGACAGCCTAGACCCTTTGATCAAGCCAGCCCGTGTCAGTCCTTTTTTTTTGTCCGTCACTGTGCATAAGATTTCCCAAGAGCTTGCAGGAGGGCGGCGATGGCTTTGGGAAGGAGAGAACCGTGCTCGGCTGGCGAAAGACGACACTATTTCTATTCTCCTCTGGATTCGGCGCAAAGAAGCAGAGCAACAAGGGACTCTACTATGTAACGCTGCCTGACCGACCCTTTCTTACACCCTGCCTGCTGGTTGTCTTAGGAGGCATGTCAAGGTAAACCCAAAGCTTGGCGCACGCATGTCGTGTAACACGGTTGACTCTTTGCCTTGCGACCTTGTTTCTCTCTATGTAGACAAGTCCATGTACCGACGTTGCATTAGCAATTGGCAGGGAGAAGATGATCGGGTCACTATGTGCGAGCACGGATTTCCGTACCGAGTGCACGAAAGCACTTGTCAGCCACAACAAGGAGGGCAAGGGGGCCTGCAAGCGCAATGGATATGGGTGCTTGCAGCCCATTCCAGCAGAGCTGCCTGGCGCAAGATGAGGCCGTTGCTGGTTCATTGCTGCCTTCTCCCCTATCATGTGCATCACATGTCCTTTGGTTATCGACGCCCGACGCGAAACGTGTGTCTACCAGCAAAGCAAAAGTGTAGCGGTCAAGGGGTAGCTAGGAGGGTTTCCAACAAACGGAGCCACGACCGAAACGAGGCTTGCCTTTTTTTTTTGTTCGGGAAAATGACAACGTGGCACAGACAGAGCAGAAGCAATGAAACAACCTGACCTAGATCTGAGTCGCGAAGAACATGGTGGGATTGGCAGCCAAGAACGGGAACGCGACTGGCTGTAGGACACTGGAGGCGCGGGAAGAGAGTTGATTGGCGATGGGTTGACGGCTTCGGCTTATTCGACGGAATACCGGGCTCCCAACACTGGTGAGCCTTTTTCTCCCCTGCGTGTCCTTGTTTCCCCTCGGTACATGGAAAAGTTGTCATAGAAACTGAGCGCGGCTTCACCGCCGAACCTAAAAAGGGTCAACACCGACTGTACTCTGTACAGGTTAGGTATTAACCAAGTTAGGTATTGCATATATGTACCCGGCACGGCACAGCGGAGCCCGGAACTGCGAGGGTTGCGCATGCTCGGAAGTTGAGCAGAGAGGAGGTGCATTTGCAATGCGATATGCAACGGCACATGAAAAGAAAGTACTGCGTCGCAGCAGCCCAAGGAGACAGACTGACGTAAGGGAGGGAGAATGGGAAAACACGCACTCGGTCGTGCTGCTCACGTATGATTGATTGATTGCCTTGATAAACAGGGTGCCGGGGTGGCTGTTGGAAAGAAATGCCTAATTTAATAGCTAGTGACGGATGTGTAGATTTCGGTGAGGCCCTGCAAGCTGATGGCACGCGGGATCGATCCCGTGCTTCTCGCATTTACTTGGATGCGTGATGATGATACGGTGTGCATCTCTGACTTACACTCTACTATATCGCGGCAGGAAAGATGTTTTGTTCTCCCGTTTCTTTTTTTTTTGACAACCCTGCCTACTATAGTTTGCATTAGCCCGGCAAGCTAAGTGCCGTGTTCATCATCGTCACCGTGATCAGGAGCGGCATCATGCGCCCACGCGCATCCGCAATGGATGCGCTGTGAGGCCCTTTTTTTTTTTTTTTTTTTTTTTTTTTGGCGGTATTTCAAGACGCTGTTGTGTTGGGCAAGAACGTGATGTGTCGGTGAAGGGAAGGGGATGGGGTGGGCAGGCAGAGAGGCACGAGAGAAGCCGAGAGCTGGGGTCCCGCGGACCAACGGGACGGGCCGCAGGGGGGAGGGGGGAGGGAGGAGGCAGTGCCGCTGCACATCGGAACGGGAACAGCCAGGAAGAAAATACTGTTGATCAAGTGTGGGATGAAGGTGGAAAAGAAGGATGTAGAGTCGGAAAAGTGGGTGGGCGCTGGTTGGCAGTGGTGGTGTCGTCCTGGCAGGTGGAAAGTGTGCAGCGCGGGGAGGTGGTCTAGGGTAGGTACGTTGGCTGTGGTTGAGCATCAGCAGTGCAGACGCAACGACGGCGTCAACAGTGCCTGCAGTTAGATGAAAAAGCCTTTGCGTTTAGGAGAGTCGGTGGTGGATGGGGAGATCTTGTGCACCATGCAAGCAACAATGGCTGGCATCTACGTGATATTGTGTTTCGGTTCTTCCACGTGTGGGCTGGCTGTCTTATCTGATGCCTGTCAAGATGGCAACAGTCTCAAGTGACGAGACGAGACGTAGGATATCACAAAACAGGAACAGGAGTAGATGGACAATTTCTACCGGACGACTAAGACACAGATTTGGATATAAATCAGTACGGATCTCAAGATATTCGGTGTTTTTCATTTCCGACAAGACGTCGTGCTGAACAACTAGGCCCAATGGGCCAACAGCCAACGACAGTGGGCGGGCTTCAACCCTCGCTTTGGCATGGAAGTAAATCTAGAGCCTGAAAAAGTCGAGACCGCAGAAATCCTAATGTTTGTTTTTCTTACTGTACCATCTGACTCATAATATTGATTGGATGCTGCGCCGAGAATCCGTTTTGCCGCGGACACCGCCCTGTGTATACGACCTGTCAACTCTCGGATAAGAGCAACTATGACGAACAAGGATTTGGAAAAAGAGATGAACAGGATCTTTCAGAACGAGGAAAAAAAAAAGCAGAAAAGATACATTCTTTATCCGCTGTTGCTTTCCTACTTCCGTTTTGCCGCGGCCAAAACTTGACGTATGATGGAGCGACTTACGTATAGCCGCCAAACCTCCCCTCCAAAAAAGGTGGAGATGGTTGCGTCCCGCTAGTTAGGCCCGTCAGCGACGGCGCTTAATAAAAAAAAAGAAAAATAGCAGAGCAACATCGAAGAACGGGCCCCAGCCATCGGTTTCATTATTTGGCCAGGTTTCCATGCGACGTCATCTTAAAAAAAAAAAAGACAAGCCATTGGATACCCAAGTAACGCGTAAGACAGAAAAAGCTGTTCCCAACATCAACAGCAGTTCACCTAGACGCTACCTCGAACAACGACGTGAGCGGGCGCGCGCGTTTGCCTCTTCCCCCTTGGCCCCCCCACACAAATCCCGGGGAACCAAACTCGTCACCCACGTCATCTTCGCCCTTGGGGGAGGAGAAAAATCGACGACCATCAGAAACACGGCCTCGCATCCCACCCGGACGTTTACCAATTCCAAGCCGGAATCACACGCGCACCACAAAAACGACGAGGCCAATTGGTTTCCCGTTCTTCGCCACCCTGAACGAAGCGACGACGGAGCTAAGCACGCCGCCGCGGCAAGCTTTCCCACCTATCGGGCGGTCAACGATATCGGCGACCTTGACGCTACACACACACACACACACACACACAGAAACAACATTTGCGATACCGCCTTTTCATCTGTTACACGTCTTGTACCTTTTGTACACCACCACAACAACACAACACAACACAGAGAAAAAATAGTCATGGCGCAAACACCGTCTACGCCAGTCAAGGTGCCCTCGTCCGCCGCCGACTACACGCCCGCGACGCTCGACCCGGATCTTCGCTCACAGATCAACACGATCCTCCTCCGTGACGGCCACGTCCCCAAGTCCGTCCTCTCCCTCCCCGCCGCCCTCCTCTCCTCCTCACAACCCCCTTCTCCCCCCCCTCCCTCCCCAAACTTCAACCCCTTCTCCAAATCCTCCAGTCTTTTCGCTAACCAAAACGCCGCCCCTCCCCTCTTCCCCCAGGATCCAAGAGCGACTCCTCCACGCCCTCAACGCCGACTCCTCCAACTGGCCCACCGTCGTGCAGGACCACGCCCTGCAACTCCTCCGCTCCGGCGAAGTCATCACCTTTCCCGCCCTCCTCCGACGCGTCCTCGACGACATCCGCGAAGCCTCCTCCTCCGCGACGACCAACGGCAGCAGCAGCAAGCCGACGACCAACGGCGACGGCGCCGCGGGGAGGCCGTCGCTGGCGGTGCCCCAGGCGGTCGTCGAGGAGACCATCCGCGTCACCAAGGAGTGCCTCGAGAGCGTCTGCGAGATCGAGGACTAGGCGCGACGCATCGACCAGGCGCGCCGCGAGGAGCAGGATGAGGAGTACGCGGGGGATGGGGAGGGCAGCTCCAGGCGCGACTTTGAAGACTCGGAGGAGGAGGAGGAGCCACGGACGGCATCCGGGCCGTGAAAAGAGAAGGGATCATCGCTATGCGGCGGGTTTTAATAATAATGGGCGCGAGGGGGGGCCAAAAAAAAAACGGGAGCATATGGCGTTAGAGAGGACACACACAAGGGGACTTTACTTTTACAGGGAACCAGGGAAATCACTCGGCTGTTATCAAGTCCAGCCGCTGTATAGTTCGACTTGTATCAATAAATCAATAAATCAATAATAAAAAAGGCCAGATGTATTCAAATAGCCGCTTCACATTACCGAGGCGTCTTTATAGAGGTGCACCGAGCCACAACTACCTAGCCTAGGCTTAACAAACCATACATCAATCAAGAGAACCATCGCCACAATACACATCACCCAGCAAAGAGCATCACGAAACTTCGTCATAAAAATCAATTGCGTCATCTATGAAAGCTGAATAAATCTGCTGAGAGTCATACCTGTTGTATTCATCGCACCAGGTTCTCTGGACGCTGAATACAACAGAGACTCTACATATTTATAAGGGGTTCAAATCCCTTACATTAGCCTCTAATGCTTCTCAAACTCCCAGCAAAACGATAACCACCGAAAAGCACCCGAGTCTTTCTTCTTTTGCTCAAGTCACTCATTGCGTAGAATACAATTCACAATCTCGAAATCTCTCGGTCTTGGCCGCCTTAGTCATAGAGACCGTCGTCGTTGCCGGCGTCGCCAAACGAGTCTCCTCCAGCACCCTGGCTCTGCTCGCCCTCAGGGAACTTGAAGAAGGCACCGGGCCCGGCATTCTTCATTTGCTGTGCAAAAGCCTCGTAGCGTCGGATCTCGACATCGCTGACCGATCTGCGGGCCATCTGCATAGCTTCCTCGAAGTGGGCTTTGGTCAGGACAGGAACGGGGTCTTCAGCATCCTCATCTTCATCCATGTCCATGTCCCCGGCAGCTTCCCGCTCCTTGGTGCGGGCGATGTCGGCGTCAATGGACTCCTTGATGGCAATCTTGGCTGCACGCTGGGCAATGAAGCTGATATCGGCACCAGAGAAGCCGTGTGTCTTGCTGGCAATGAAGTCTAGGTCCACGTCGGGGGCGACAGGGGACTTGCGCAGCTGAGCCTGGAGAATGCTGAGACGGCCAGGGTGATCAGGCAGAGGAACGTAGATGAGAGAGTCGAGACGACCAGGACGGCACAGAGCAGGGTCGAGCTGCTCAGGTCTGTTGGTAGCGCCGATGACGAAGACGTTCTTCTTCGAAGTCATACCGTCCATTTCAGTCAGGAGCTGGTTGACAACACGGTCAGATGCACCACCAGCATCGCCGACAGAACCGCCACGAGCCTTGGCAATAGAGTCCAACTCGTCGAGGAACACGATGCAAGGAGCAGCAGCACGGGCCTTGTCAAAGATGTCACGGATGTTGCTTTCCGATTCACCAAACCACATGCTGAGGAGTTCGGGTCCCTTGACTGAGATGAAGTTGGCAGCGCACTCATTGGCGACAGCCTTGGCCAACATTGTCTTACCGGTACCGGGGGGACCGTAGAACAAAACACCTCGAGATGGTGACAGGCCAAACTTGAGGAACTTTTCGGGGTGGTCGACAGGGTACTGGACCTGCTCGCGCAGATCCTGCTTGACAGCCTCGAGACCACCGATATCCTCCCAGCGGACATTGGGCACCTCGACAACAGCAACCTCGCGAAGGGCGGAGGGGTTGGAGACACCGAGAGCAAAACGGAAGTTCTCCATGGTGACTCCCAGGGAGTCGAGAACCTCGGCGTCAATGGTATCCTCGTCAAGGTCGATCAGGTCCATCTTCTCACGAATCTGCTGCATGGCAGCCTCTGAGCAGAGAGCGGCCACATCAGAACCGACGTAACCATGGGTCTCTGAGGCAATCTGCTCCAGGTCAACGTCGTCACCGAGTTTCATGTTCTTGGTGTGAATCTGAAGAATCTCAAGACGGCCGGTAGGATCGGGGACGCCAATATCGACCTCACGATCAAAACGGCCAAAGCGACGCAAGGCAGGGTCGATGGAGTTGGGACGGTTGGTGGCGGCCATGACGACAACGTTGGAGCGAGCCTTCATGCCATCCATGAGGGTGAGGAGCTGGGAAACGACGCGGCGCTCGACCTCACCGTTGGTCTTCTCACGCTTGGGGGCGATGGAGTCGATTTCATCAATGAAGATGATGGCGGGAGAGTTCTTCTCAGCCTCCTCAAAAGCCTTGCGCAAGTTGGACTCGGATTCACCGGCCATCTTGGACATGATTTCGGGACCGTTGATGAGGAAGAAAAATGCACCAGTCTCGTTTGCGACGGCACGAGCCATCAGTGTCTTACCAGTACCAGGAGGACCATAGAGCAGGACACCACGGGGAGGCTTGATACCGATGGACTTGAAGAGCTGGGGGTGGCGAAGGGGAAGCTCGACCATTTCACGGATCTGAGCCATCTGCTTGCGGCAGCCACCAATATCGTCGTAGCCAACCTCGTTGAGATTGTTCTCCTCCTCGTCGCGCTCGATCGGGTCACCCTCGCAGTGAATAACGGTGTCTTGGGCTACAATGCCGTACTCGGGAGGGTCGACCTCGACGACCTTGAACTCGACTTGTCGCATGCCACCACGGACGATGAAGAGGTCGCCTTGGCGGACGGGGCGGTAAGCTTCGCGGAAGTAAGGAGCGAGGAAGACGTCGAAGAGCGAGCCGGTGATGCCCTCGACAGTGTCGGCGATGGGGAGAACGGCAATTCGCTTGGCCTAAAACCTGTTAGAAATGCATTTGTGGGTTGGCATGGTTCGCTCAACATACATATTTGATATCGGGGCAGGGCTGGATGGTGATCATGTCGCCATGCTTGACGCGGAGGTTGTGGCGAACCACACGGTTGATGCGGGCACTGCCGTCATCGAGCTCCTCGTCAGCGAGGACAATGAGAACAGTGTCCTTTCTCTTCTTGCCGCGGACGAGGACTGTGTCGCCACGGAAGAGCTGGAGCTCCTCCATGGTGTTTTCGGAGAGGGCGATGATGCTGTTGTCGTCATTGACGGCATCGGTAACCCTAGTGAAGTTCGGTTAGCGAGAGGCAGACGCGTGAGACGGCACTGCGGGGGAGCAACGCACATGAGCTGGTTAGGCTTCTTCTTCTTCTTGAGAATGGCGGTCGCGACATCATCTTCCTGTATGAAGGGTTAGTTGGGTTCGAAGGGTCGTGGCAGTGATGCGGTCGGCGATGCTGCTTACGTGCTTGATCTCAGCGCCAGAGACATCGCTAGGGAAACTGTTAGCTGGCGGGTTTGGGCTTTCGGAGCTGCGGGCGAGCTCTGTTGGCGGGCAGCAGGAGAATAAAAAGGGTGACACTCACGTCAAGTTGACCTTCTTCTTGTGCTCCTCCGGTTGGGGAGCCATTGTGCCGGGCGTGTGAGCTTGGAGAAGATGCGAAGAGGGGGATTGGGTTGCGGGTGGCGGAACGGAGTCAGCTCGGCGAGCAACAAACGCAGGGCTGACGAGTGTTTATTATGCAGCAGTGGCCTTGTCGCAGAGCAATGCGATGAGAGAGAAAAGCAAGACCAGAGACGAGGAACAAGTTTGTTGGGGGAAAGGAAAAGAGAAAGGGTATTGCGGATTTGGAGTGATGATGATAGGACCAAGAGGCGAGTCGTGCCGAAGAGGTGAGAGGAGGAGCCCGTTTCGAAGGTGAGGTAATGCCACAGTGGTTGCTTTGGCTTTTGGTGAGTTGCAACGGAGCGGTACAAGGTACTTGCCAGTAGCAGGTCCACTTTGACAGAGATGGACCAATCAGAGACTACGAGGCCCTGAGGCGGAGCGGAAGATTGATGGTCCAGGTGCCTTGAGTGCTCGCTACTTTTAGGCGGCCGGGAGCTGTGGCGAGGCCTGTGCAGGTGGTTTTGGGGCGGTTTTAGCGGCGGAAACGATAAAGACGGCGCTGTCAGTTTGCCGTTCCAGTCAGTGGAACGTTCTGCCACATTCCACCACCAACCGAGCCCAGGCAGCTCGAGGCCACGCAATTGGCAAGTGCCTGCCTGGCAGTACCGCTGCTTTGTCATCACGGCTCTTCACCTCCAACAAAGCTTCACGGAGGCAGCCATCTGGCTGATTGAGAAACGCCAGTAACATTCCCGGTGGCGGACATTGGCAGCTACGCCAGCAGCATTCCCATGCCAATCACAGTCAATATGTGGTGCAACGCGGCCTTGCAGCCTACCCATCGGAGGTACATCGTCTCCCAGAATTCACGCCGAACAAACTGCCCTGTGCACGACTCTACGGCCTTTGTCTTCTACTAGATTCCTTGGCGTGACAACTAGTCCATGTAGGTAGTGTGTACATATGTAAGGAATAGTTGTTACTTGTCCTGCCGGGATGCGCCAGCCAGCATGGTCTGACACCGCGCGTATTAGCCGCCTGGTCGCGAGCAGAGCCTAGCTGTTGACAAGGCTGCTCGTCTTGTATCGTTCCGTATCTGTACGACCAAGGCACAGCTCTATTTCATCATGGTATCGCTTGAACCAATTGCAACGGCCCTCCAGTCTCGAAACATACAGGCCTAGTTCGGGCAACGTATGCTCAGATATATAACTAGATGTGATCGATGCCCTGTCAACACAGAAACAATGAAAGCCTTGTAACGGTTGTCTATCCCATAAAGTCTGCTCAGGATTTGTGCACAAGTGCTGCCACCGCAGTAGTACGATCGACAACGCCGGATGCCCTTCCGGCAATCGCTGTCCTCCCTCGCCGCTGGATGGCGCCGACGCCACTTCGATAATGCTCCGCTCGCGTATATCCCGACTCAGGCCAGCACACGCACATACCCGCAGTTCCTGCCCATACTCTGTAACAAAAGCCCTTTCTTCTATAGCTTGGCAAATTAGTTGTAAATGCGCCCTTGCGTCATAGCCAAACCCATCTGGAGACCAAGAAGCAACCTAGTAGAACGCATTAACCTCGCCTTGGCCAAGCCTCGTCATCCGTCTAATGCATCTAGTCCACTTCGGCCAAAGTGCAACATAAAAAACAGGGAAAATCTAGGAACTCTTTCCCTTGCCTGCCATCAACTTGGAGTTCCACTGCCTCTGAGGGAGTTAGATGGTTAAAATATAGATTAGCATGAAGGGAGTAAGATCCCACCGCGTGGACGGATTACAAGGCAAGACATGCCAAGTATAAACCTGTGTGGAAGGCAACTGATTTATATAACATGTTGGATCCTCCTTGCTTCTGACTGTGTAGGAATCGTGTTACTCGTGCTTCATCACCAGCCTCGCTCGCGCGCCACACCCTCTTCCTCACAATGCAAATCATCCAGCCCGTGTACCCGCGCCGCCTGGTGTCGGCGATCCCCAACAAGATCCGGAACCACTTCGTCGCCGCCATCGGCGAGTTCGTCGGCACCCTCCTCTTCCTCTTCCTCGCCTTCGCGGCCACGCAGGTCGCCAACACGGCCCTCAAGGGCAACCGCGCCGCGGGGCAGCAGGGCCAGGAGGGCGACGAGCAGCACGCGATCGCCGACATTCCCGACACCCCGACCCTGCTGTACGTTGCGCTGGCCTTTGGCTTCAGCCTCGCCGTCAACGCCTGGGTGTTTTTCCGCATCAGCGGAGGTGAGACTCTCTCCATGCAGAAGAAGGAAATTGGGCGGCTCTGACGACTCTCACGCTTCTTCCCACAGGTCTCTTCAACCCTGCCGTCACGCTCGGCCTCGTCCTCATCGGCGGCCTCGGGCCGATCCGCGCCGTGCTCATCTTCGTCGCGCAGATCCTCGGCGCCACCTCCGCCGCGGCGCTCGTCTCCGCGCTCTTCCCCGGCGAGCTGCAGGTGGCCACGGCGCTGGGCGGCGGCACCTCCATCGCGCAGGGCGTCTGGATCGAGGCCCTGCTGACCGCCGAGCTCGTCTTCACCATCATCATGCTCGCCGCCGAGAAGCACAAGGGCACCTTCCTGGCCCCCATCGGCATCGGCCTCTCCCTGTTCATCGCCGAGATGACGGGCGTCTACTTCACCGGCGGCTCGCTCAACCCGGCGCGCAGCCTCGCGCCCTGCGTCGTTCTGCGCAGCTTCCCCGGTTACCACTGGATCTACTGGGTCGGGCCGGGCATCGGGAGCGCGCTCGCGGCCAGCTTCTACCACCTCATCAACATCCTCGAGTACGAGACGGCGAACCCCGGGCAGGACTTTAACGAGAAGGAAATGGATCGATTTGTTTTTGACGAGGAGGCTGCGGATACCAGCGCGCATGTGGTGCGTCCTGATGCGACGGAGGTTTTGAAGCCCATCGTCTCTCTGGTTGCTTCCCCCGATGTCTCGGGCGACCTGCTCCGCGGCCGGTCTCTCAGTTGCGGCACTTCGCCAGGTGCGCCCAGCCTCGCTCAACGATTTTCGGAGGCTGGTACTGTCCCTAATGGCTCACTCAAGGCGGACTGAGCCAACACTGCAAGCCATTTGCCACTAGCATCATGACCGAAATGAAGCCGAAATGAAGTCGAAAAAGTAGACAGCCCGCGTAGGGCAACGGCAATCGTCTCGTCGTTTTTGTCAACGCGAAAAGGGGGCATGAATGAACGACACGCATAATGTAAAATAGATATGGACTCGTGTAGTATTACCCAGGAGCCAGTGTTGCCGCGCTCGTAAATGCAAAACATCTCCCAAAAGGCTTTGTTCATTATTCGTGTAGTTGTTCATGACGCCATCATGCCCGCCCGGACGAAGAGTGCGCGCAGCCGATCCGCCGCCATGTTGCCAACCGCCTCGAGCCCGATGCCGCCGCGGTTCAGCCCCATGAACGCCCTGCGGTGGCGCTGCAGCCCCGGCAGGGCGAGCTTCTTGAGCGTCGGCAGCGTCACCACCAGGTCCTCCTGCGCCGCGTCGTTGAGCGGGATGCGCACCTCGCCGCCCACCTCCTCGCCCTGCTGCTCCAGGATGCGCCGCACGACGAACTGCGTCTCGCGGTCGAGCACGTACAGGTAGTCGCCGCCGGCGTCGCGCCCGCGTGGCTCCGTCGACTGGTTCGGCTTGACGACTTTACGGCCGTCGCCGGCGATGGCCTCCCACAGCGCGGCAAAGGTGCGCTCCGCCTGCGCCTCGTCGTCCTCCCAGATCAGCGTGAACAGCGGGCTGTCCCAGCGCGTCATCGGGTTGGGCTCCTCGTAGCGGAAGACGAGGTTGTCCCAGTTGCCCTGCTCGTACGGTCCCGGGGTGCTGTCCGATCCCTCCCCGGCGGTGGCGCGTCTATCTAGCCGCTCCTGGTTGACCTGCCGGGCGCGGTCGGGCGCGCAGCCAATCTGCAGGACGCAGCTGGGGGTGCGCACGGCCTTGGCCTCGCAGTGCAGCTGGTAGCGCCAGCCCTTGATGTAGTTGAGGCCGTCGAGGATGACGATGTCGCGGTCGGAGAGCACGCGCTTGACGGCGGCGTAAGCGCTGGCGCGAGCGTCCTTCTCGGAGGCGTTGGCGGAGCGCGTGTGCGCGGGCAGCGCGGCGAGGTCGTAGACGGTGCGTGAGATCGATAGGCTATCGTCGGAGATGAGGTGCAGCCGGTGCTTCGTCTCGGCGACGCGGATGGAGAGGTAGTCGTGCAGCTGCTGAGCCCGCGTGGACTTGCCCGAGGTCGGGAGGCCAGTGACGATGATGAGCTGTGTGGCCGTGGGTTAGTAGGTAGGGCAAGTGGACGGTGAGCTTGAGAGGGGGGGGGGGACGTACAGGCATCTTAGCGGTATGTGCGACAGAGTAGTTATATAATGACCAATTCGGCAGCTAGTGATCCATTCCACCTGTGGTTGTAGAATCTGCGGGAGGATGAGGACGTGGAGAGATTTTCCTCGAGTATCCGTCGCCGTAACTTTTTGGTCTGCCCCACCATCGCCAAGTCTCGTCTTGGTGTGGCGGGGTGACCAAGTTGGAACTCTCATATCGATTTAAAGTCATGCCAAGTTCTTACGCTTTACTCGAAAAGCTTGAATGCGGTACCGCGTTCTAATCATTAATTTTCATAATATTAGCAGATTTTGTTTGCTTCTTACATCTGCATGGCTGGTTTCCGGATCCAACCCAGGCTTCAAGCTCATGATATGCATATACATTCCCCGGCGTAAGTTTTCGAGCCATGGTCCTGTTCTATTCCACAACAATTATACCCAAGAATCGTCCAGTCATGTCATTTCCTCGTTCCTCTCACGGGTAATCCGTGAAGCCTGCCGACTGTCCATCCCGACTCGTCATGTAGCCGAAGCGCTCCGGCTCCTGGAGAACCAGCGGCGGCATATCCGTATTATTCTCGATCCTGCTGAACTGATCCTGGTCCCTGTCCCACACGTCCTTACCCTTGCGTATCGCGTCCGCGATCCTGTCCCTGTCCCTATACTCCGCATCATTCATCCAGCCGTGGGAGAAGCTGGCGAGCTTGTTGAGGAACTGCTCCATCGTGGCGAAGCAGCTGCTGCAGTGCCACGCGGCGTTGCTCAGAACGCCTTTTTCCCACTCGCGCAGCCAGGGCAGGCCTCCGTCGCCGTTGCGCAGGTTGGTCGGCCGGATGGTGCGCCACGGCCCCTGGTAGAAGGTGGCCTGCGGGTGCGGCCACTCCGGCCCGGCGTGCAGGAACTGGAAGGAGTAGTAGTAGAACTTGGAGCCGAGGGTGAGGCGTCGGGGGAAGGCGCAGGTACGGAGCACGAGCAGCGACTCGGGCCGGGGGATCTCGTCGACGTCGGAGACGACGATGACGTCGCCATTGACGGGCGTCCGGGGACCTTGCAGAGCGTGCAAAGCCTGCTCAAACATGGCGTCTCGTTGCAAGTCCTCGTAGTCCCACGCGCGCTTCGGGTTGAAGGACTTGGGGAAAGTCAATTCGTGGTATATCATCTTATCGTGGTACCGGCGGAACCGGTCCCAGTTCTCCGCGATAACAAGCGGCTTCCTGTGGCCCTGGAACGTCTTTGGCGACTCGACGATGACGAAGTGATCGACGTAGTCATGTAGCGCGTGGAGGCGAATTTCTAAAAAATCCAGCTCCGTGTTGACCATGATAAGGTCGTATATCTTGCGCTCGCCGGACGCGCGCTGCGGTGTGAAGACGGAGTAGGCGCGGGCCACGCAAAAGTCGCGTGCCTCTTGTGAAGCATAGTGCTGCGCGTGCTTCTGCTTTCGGTCGAACGTGGCGGTTAAGAAATCGAGCGGAGGGAGGGCGGTGTTGGCAATCTCGCCAAGGCTGCGGCCGGAGTTGGTCGCGGAGCGGAACAAGGTCCACCATATGAGCGCGAAAACCGCCACGAGAAGGATAAATCTCGAAGGCGATTTAGGAGCCATGATTTCGCATTGGGATGACAGGGCAGGGCTCGGGGACTGCACCACATAATATGGACCGTCTCTTGCGATGGATTGGTTGAAGGATCGTCGCTCGTCTTTGTTTAGCCTTATCGCCCTGCGTTGGCGTCACGTGTGTCATAGAGGCTTGTGCTGACGTAGACTTGTCTCAAGGTCGGATTTTTATGCGAAGAGTTTCTATTACGAAGAATCAATGATTCGAGTATATGCAAGACAACCAACAACGTTGTCATGCCAAGCCTACTTTAGCCCTATTTCAAAGCCACATCCAACGCATAATCTTAACTCGGTCAACCGTTGGTGTTAAACCGTCGCGCTTATGCGGCCTCTCCCGACAAGGCCGATTTTGCTACCGGCCATGATTCTCAACCTTTCTGATTACCGCCTCACCATGCCGAACGCAGGAAACTGCTTGATCGACATGGGATCGGTAAACGGGGGTAAACGGGCGCGACAGGGCTGAAGTTTGGCGCTGCCAAGGCCTGCCTGAGCCCTACCAGTGGATGCCCTGTTCTAGAGCCCCCTGAGAGCCCCTTGATTGAGGCTGTGCAGGAAAGACAACAGCGAGCATCTTGGACATTGTGATCAATTCACTGTCAACTAAAAAAAAAAAAAAAAAAAAAAAAAAAAAAAAAAAAACCGAGGAGGGGATAATAAATGTTCTTCTGTCTTTACTCTGTGCAATTAGGGTAACCTGCAGTGTTAGAAATGTTATCACGAGCCTAGCCTAGCGCCGGGTGCCGACGACCCCATCTCCAGCTCTCTCTCTGTCCCTGTCAAACAACTAAAAATGCGACCCGAGAAAGCCAAACAAAAAGTAGAAATAAATCACACCCCGTGATTTCTACCAGGAACATATCAGCGGGACCTATCATATTGCCCGCTCGTTTTGCCTGGTTTACGCTGATCTTCGTTATGAGGCCGACTCTTGCTGTAAGCTTGATCTTTCTTCTTAGCTTGATCGTTCTTGCGAGGCTGACTGTTGCCATGAACCCTTCCCTCGCGACGCCTGCCCGGGACTGGTGGCGGAGTGTTCGAGTCGTCGCGCGGCCCTTGGCGTGTAACACGTTCTTCCGGATGGGCGGCCCTTCCTATTCCCCCCCGGCTGCGCTCGGCTCTTCTACGTTCAACTCCAGACGACCTATCCGATTCCTCGGGGCGCCTCCCCCGTCTCTGCGTGTCGGACTCCATGTCGGACTCCGCCTCGCAAATCAAGTAAAGGGACGGGGACTCGGGTTGCGGGAAGTTGCTCCTGCGCTCTGCATGTCCAGTCTTTCTGCGGTCTGCCGAAAGAGATGACAGCGCTGACTCGTAGTCGGTCGGCGCGCCGGCATCACTATGGGCTTCAGGTACAGGGGCGCTGTCGGGCGTATGGGGGTGAGCTCGATCGGGGCTTCGGCCGCGGACGGTGCCGGCATTGTCGGGACGAGCGCCCACGCTTGCATCGCGGCCCCGCTCCACGGCCGGCTCGGGCACCGCGGCCGGCGTCTTCACGCGGCACCCGGAGCCGGCGTCTCCATGCGAACTCCCTGATGTCGCGCCCAGACCGCCTGCGGTCGGATAAATGAAGTAGTTGAACACCAAGTTGTCTGCAATCTTGAGCCAAGGAACCGGGCTGCCCAGAGGCACTTGAGCCGCCTGCACAGGAACTCCCAACTGCCTCAGCATGTGCATGTACTCCTCCGTGGCAGTCTTGAGCCCCTGCATCTCCTGAGGAGCTGACCGAGCCGGCTGCCCCGGGGGCTCCGCTTGCTTAGCCGGACGGGCCGGAGCTGGCTGGCCCTCCAACACGCCTGATGGGCACACCGTCTGCTCGTAGTCTTCGCCGTGCTCTTTATTGTGAGCCCCGAGATTGGACACCGTGAGGGGAGGTCCGGGCTCGTGCAGAGGAGCCGGTCCGGTGGACTGCTGCGCGTACCGTGATTCCGGATCCGGGCTGGCCACTCGCTCTGGCGACCCCCCCGGGCATGCGCGATACAGCTCCGTCAGCCACGATGCCGACAACCGCGGCGGCGCGGGCTGTGATTCCAGACCCGGGCCGAACAGAGCTGATCCGGCCGCTTGCCCTAACGCCTCCGTGGGTACGGGATACTCGTCCATCGGCCACAGCGTCGCCTCCGGCTGCGGGGCCGGCTGGTTCGGCTGCGCCGGGGGCTCTGCCTCTGGACCTGGTCTGGTCAGGGCCGGCGACCAAGCCTCCAAAAAATCTGGTAGCTGACTGTAGTCAGAATACGGGCTCATCTCGCTGCCACAAAGCATTGAATGCATTAGAAACTCGTCCTCCTGCCGAGTTGCTGGCGGAGTCGCTTGCGCCGGCGGAGTCGCTTGCGCCGGCGGAGTCGCCTCTGGAACTGAAGTGGTCGCGGTCGACGTAGTCTTGGTAGAAGTTGATGGTCGACTACTGTTACGGTACTTGCTCGACTCGCTAGGAGAAGGCGGTTCCTCAACTACAGGATGGGTCTCCTGCGGAGGTGTCGGCTGGGGAGGCGCCGACGCCACGACTTGGTCCTGCCCCGAGACGGACGGGCCGGCTTGCGCAGGTCGTGGGGGGGGAGTAGTTTCCGGCGATGCGGCGGCAGAGTCCGGTTTCGTAGGGGGGTTGCTGCGGATGTTGTGAGCTTCACTCTGCTCCTTCTCCACGCACCCCTGGTCCGCTTTCAGGCGCTCGTAATAAAGCCAGAACACCTGCTTCTCCTTGTACTTCTTCTTTGGCGGAATGCTCATTAACTTCCGTGAAAGATCGCGCAGCTTGTAGTCCTTTTCCTTGTTAGACTTGAGCTTCAAGCCAGCCTCCTTTTCGGCGTTGGTTGGATCCGTTCCTTCATTGAACTGCACCAGCTTCCAGTCGTATCTGGGGCCATTCTCCTTCTTTAGTTTCCATTCTGCCCCAGCGCTCATATTGCTAAACCGGGGGTTGTCCTTGAAGATCTTAGTCTTGCACTCTTCCAACCTTTCCTGGCCGTGGTCGTCGAGTTGTGTGCGGGACGCCCAGATCTCCTTTTGCTCGAGGAAGTCTTTAGAGATGACCTTGAACTTCCAGGACTCGTTGATATCTTGGTCATTCTTTTTCGTGGCGGTAATAATTGTTTTCTTCGCCCTGACGATGCGAAGCTTCGGCAGGGCGGGGTTGCCGTCGTGTGTTTTCGGTTTGGGGGCTTTGCTGCCCTTTTTGGAACTCTTGGTTGACATGGTCGTAAATGGGCGCACTTGAAGTTACTGTCTCTGATGAGATGTGCTAGCTTGCCTTCTATGTAATACCGCAGCTCTGACCGACAGTTCTTGTTGGTGTTGCCGCTCGTGAAGCACTGAGGGCCCCGGGCCACGCTGTGACGGGCGACGCTGGTGATGACTGGCGCTATAGGGAGAGGCTTTGGCGTAGCAAACTTGGGATAATAAAAGAGTTGCTTGTCGTCTTGCCGTGAGAGGTTTGTACACGTAAAGATGCTGCGAGTAGATGGAAAGTTGTTGCGGTAGAAGGTTCACGTGTTTAACTGAACGATGTTCGAATGAGAAAGAACGATAATGGGGAAGAAAGAACAGGGTTTGTGAAAAAGAAAAAGACAAAGAAAGAGAGACATGTTATAAAGGTACAGATAATTCTGTGTGAGCATTTGTGTGTCGTTGTAGCCTGGCCATTGTCAAATCCCTGCGCATGCATCAGGTAACGCAGGAGGCGAATAACCAGCAACAGCGCCACCACGAATGCACAGGCATGAATTTTATATTTTTAGGAAATGGCCGTAGTCACTAAATATAATTCAGGAAGTATTTGGGAGATTTGGCCGCAGTAAAGTGTAAACAGACGTCATGAAAGCGTCAGAGTACGGAGACCAGCCGCCCGGTGCGATGATTCACAAGAGGACCATGGATAAGCGGCTGCCATGACTCTCGAAGAGATGTTTACTCACATTTTAATAGGAATGGCCTTTGTAAATTCTTAATGTATTGATAACGTTCCACTTGACGCTGTATACACGGCGTCAAATCACTTTGTGCGTTGTGATACGTGAGACGTCTTACACAAGACCGACAGCGACGGCCAGGGAATACCAGCGCCAAAAAGGTGACAAGTCGGAAAGACTCAAACAAAAAGAGTCTCAATGTTAAACAAGAGCCTTGACGTCTTGTGCCGGCGGTTGAGAAGTCAGATGCTAGATACAGAGTGTAAATGCATCAATCTCCTTCCCATCCATAACGGGCGGCTGCTCATCCAGTCAGGCGGCCGAGGTTCAAGTTACACTTTACTGAAATGTATTGCATTTACAACGTGTTTATTTGAATGAAACCCACCAGCCAAAAAAAAAAAAAAAAAAGCCACACCCAACAAAGCGGTGTGGTGCATCGGACCTTTCCCCAACCTGCTCCTCGTCTCCGTCTGCCGGACCGACATCATGGTCAACTTATACTGCCCGATCCAACTTTTTATCGCCTCAGTACATAGTCTACCAATAAGAAAAGCGATAATATGAAGAGAAGAAACTACTACTCTAGTGAGCCTGGTGTTGACGCTACCATCGCCTTAGTGGCGCAATATGTGCGAGCTTCACCCTCGATGACAGCATCACCACACCGGCCCCAACACTTACTAACACCCATCATGGAGTGATCTTGCAGCAGCCGGCAATTGAACGGCGGACTGGAGTAGGGCCGATTCAAGCGGCCCGGATAAGATTCCGGTGGACCTGGAACCCCCGGAAACCTGTCCGCTTCCCCCACGTTCTTTCGGGTGAGGGGTACTTGGGCCATGCATACATGCAGCAAAGTCACATCGGAACCGGGGTCAGGTTTTTGTATAAGTACCTCCCCGAATGTCGTGTCATTATCCGAAGTCGCAGCTGCTTGTCTCATCTCCTTCCATTGAAGCTTTCTTCTACCCATCCCGCAAAGCTACGATGAGGAGTCTATTCGCAGCTGCTCAGGCCCTCCTCCTGGTCGGGGTCGCCCGCGCCGCCGTCGCCGATAACTCGGCCGCGGACAAGTGCCCCGGATATGCGGCCTCCAACGTCAAGACCACGGCCCACGGCCTCACCGCCGACCTTACGCTCGCCGGCCCGGCCTGCAACGCTTTTGGCCGCGACCTGGAGAACCTCAAGCTCACCGTCAGCTACGACACCGGTGCGTACCCTCTGTGCTATCCCTTCCTCTAAACAATCTCAACTAAGGTCAGTCATCCGCAGCTGAACGCATCCACGTCCAGATCGTCGACGTCGACGAGCAGGTCTACCAGGTGCCCGAGTCCGTCTTCCCGCGGCCCCCTCCTCCTCCAGCGTCCGGCTGCCACAGTGCCCGTGCCTCCTCCGCGCTCACCTTCAACTACACCGCCTCCCCCTTCTCCTTCGCCGTCGCGCGCGCCGCCACCGGCGAGGTCCTTTTCGACTCCTCCGCCGCGCCGCTCGTCTTCGAGTCGCAGTACCTCCGCCTGCGCACCCGTCTTCCCCCCTCCCCGAACCTCTACGGCCTCGGCGAGCACACTGACTCCCTCCGCCTGCCAACCACCAGCTACGTGCGCACCCTCTGGAACCTCGATAACCCGGGCGTCGGCCAGCGCCAGAACCTGTACGGCAGCCACCCGGTGTACTATGACCACCGCGCCGGCGGCACCACCCACGGCGTGTTCCTGCTCAACTCCAACGGCATGGACGTCAAGATCGACGTCGACGCGGAGGGCGAGCAGTATCTCGAGTACAACACCATCGGCGGCGTGCTTGACTTTTACTTCCTGGCCGGGCCCTCGCCGATCGACGTGAGCAAGCAGTACGCGCAGGTGGCCGGTCTACCGGCCCTGGCGCCGTACTCGGGCCTGGGCTTCCACAACTGCCGATGGGGATATACGAGCATCGACGAGGTTGCAGAGGTCGTCGCCAACTATAGCGCCGCTAACATTCCTCTCGAGACCATGTGGACGGACATTGACTACATGGATGGACGTGCTGTATGTTCGCCCCGTCCCCTTCATTACACCGTGATATTATCCTCGTCTTCTAACTCCATCCAGGTCTTTGCCCTCGACCCTATAAACTTCCCCCTCGACAAGGTCCGCCGCTTCGTCCAGGACCTGCACGACCGCGGCCAAAAGTACGTCATGATGGTCGACCCGGCCGTCGCCGCCAAGGACTACCCGCCCTACCACCGCGGCGTCGACTGCTCCGCCTTCATGACCTTCCGCGGCGAGGTCTACCGCGGCGAGGTCTGGCCCGGCCCGGCCGCCTACCCGGACTGGTTCGCCGCCAACGCCTCCGACTACTGGGCCGGCGAGTTTGCGCGCTTCTTCGACCCCGCCACCGGCGTCGACATTGACTACCTCTGGATCGACATGAACGAGCCCTCCAACTTTTGCGAGTTTCCCTGCGAGCACCTGCTGCCGCGCCGCGGGGTCTCCCAACAGCATGTCATCGCACCCGGAACCCGCAAGGGCCTGCCGGGCCGCGACCTGCTGTACCCGCCGTACCGCATCGACAATGCCGACGGCGACCTGTCCAGCAAGACCGCCCGCCCGGACCTCCTCCACGCCAACGGGCTGACCCTCTACGACACGCACAACCTCTACGGCAGCATGATGTCCTCCGCCTCGCGCGCCGCCATGCTCGCCCGCCGCCCCGGCCTCCGGCCCCTCGTCGTCACCCGGTCCACCTTTGCCGGCGCCGGCGCGCACGTCGCCCACTGGCTCGGCGACAACGCCTCCACCTGGCGGCACTACCTATGGAGCGTGCGCGGCATGCTCGCCTTCTCCGCGCTCTTCCAGGTGCCCGTCGTCGGCTCCGACGTGTGTGGCTTCGGCGATGACACGACGGAAGCGCTGTGTGCGCGCTGGGCGATGCTGGGCGCGTTCCAGCCGTTTTACCGCAACCACAACGCGATCAACACGACATCGCAGGAGTTTTACCGGTGGGAGTCGGTGGCGCAAGCCGCCCGCAAGGCCATCGACGTCCGCTACCGCCTGCTGGACTACTTCTACACGGCGCTGCAGAGACAGTCGGCGGACGGCACGCCCTGCCTGAGGCCCATGTTCTTTGCGTACCCCGGCGACGAGCGGACGTTTGCCCTGGACGCGCAGTTCTTCTACGGGCCGGCGCTGCTGGTCGCGCCGGTGGTGGAGGAGAGCAGCACAGAGGCGAGGTTCTACCTGCCAAGGGACGTCTTCTACGACTTTTACACGCACGAGCGGGTGCTCGGGGAGGGGGAGGTGGTGACCCGCGAGGACCAGCAGCTGGACGATATCCCGCTGTTCTGGCGCGGGGGGAGCGTGGTGCCGGTGCGTGTGCGCGCGGGGATGACGACGGCCGAGGTGCGCGGACAGGACTTTGAGCTGCTGGTGGCGCCGGACGCGGAGGGTGCGGCGGAGGGAAGCTTGTACCTGGACGACGGCGAGTCGGAGGACCAGCGGGGAAGGGTCACGCGGGTCGACTTTGCGTACGAGGGCGGCGTGCTGCGCGCAAACGGCACGTTCAAGTACGTTACCGGGAGCGTCATCAGCAAGGTGACCGTGCTCGGCGGCGGGAAAAGGGCTGCTGCCGATGACAAGGCGAGCAACTCGGTCGAGGTCAAGCAGCCTCTCTCTGGACCTTTCAAGATTGACGTGGCCAAGCTGATGACTAGCAAGTAGAGAGTATGCTTCGCATGTCTATTCTAGAATCTAGGTCTATCTAGATCTACCTGCCATGCCTTGAATCGTCCACATGCACCTGTTTTCCGTTTCACCACTCCTCCATATTTCCATATATCCACATGATTCATAACATAGCAATCAATACACGCATAAATTGTATCTATGGCTTGCAGCGGCCCATGAAGCGAGGGTACAGGCATGTCGTGCGGACGGTGTGCTGGTTGGCCATCCAGGCGAGGAAACGTTCAAGGCCGAGACCATATCCGCCGTGAGGAGAGGTACCGTACCTAACATTGTTAGCCATGTCTCGTTTGTCTTTTTCTCTTCTTCCTTTCCATCATCGTCCGGGAAATACATACTTGCGCTGGTCAGTGTACCAGTAGTAGTCCTTGGCATCGATACCTTGGGTCTTGTAGGCCTGCAGGAGCTCGTCCAGGTCCTCCATTCTCATGGAGCCGCCGACAATCTCGCCGACACCGGGCATCAGGCAGTCCACGCTCTCCGTCACGCGCCTGTCCTGCGGGTCCTTCTTCATGTAAAAGGCCTTGATTTCGGCCGGGAAGTGGGTGAGGAAGATGGGGCGGTTGATGGCGTCCGTCATCTTGCGCTCCGCGGCCTCGGCAATGTCGTCGCCGAAGACGTGCGGCTTGTCCTCCTCGTTGAGGATCGGGGGATCCTGGGCGTTGAGCCAGTCGATGGCGTCGCTGTAGCGCATGCGCATAAACGGACGCTGCGGCCGGGCAAAGGTCGGGTTGAGCTCCTTGAGGAAGGCGGCCGTCTCGGGGTCGCCGAGCACGCTGTCGATGACGCGGCACATGAGCTCCTCGAGATGTTCAAGAAGGTCGTCAAAGGTGACAAAGTCGAGCTCGGCCTCGACGTGGCTGTACTCGGAGAGGTGGCGGCGCGTCAGGGACTTTTCGGCGCGGAACGACTTCTCGATGCAGTAGACGTTTCCGAGGCTGGGCAGCACGGTCTCGAGGTAGAGCTGGGATGACTGGGTCAGGTAGGCCTCCTCGTCGTAGTAGGGCACCTTGAAGAGGGTGGCGCCACCCTCGACCTGGGTCTGCACGAGCGCGGGCGGCGACACCTTGACGAACTTCATGTCGTTGTACGTCTTGATGAAAGCCCACTCGACCTGCGAGCGCAGCTTCATGAGCGAGGCGGCGTTGTCACCGCGCAGCACCAGGTGGCGGTTGTCGAGCATGCCCTGGTCCCACTGGTTCTGCGAGACGGAGACCTTGTTGGTGATGGCCTCGTCGTCGCCGGGCGAGGCGCCGATGACCTCGTAGTAGTCGACGTGCAGCTCGCGGCCGTCGGGCGCCTGCTGGCCGTCGGGCACCTTGCGCATCTCTCCGTAGAGCGTCAGCGACGTGCCCTGCGCAAACGTCAGGGCGTCGTACGTCTTGGTCAGGTCGCCCGACTGCAGCACGCACTGCAGGTGGCCGTAGCCGTCAATCAGCGTGATGAAGGTGGCCTGCTTCTGCGCGCGCAGGCGGTGGATGCGACCGGAGACCTTGACGCGGGCGCCCTTCTTTTTGCCGTCGCCGAGCTCGACGTCCTTGTTGGCGATGCCCATCTTGACGGCGGCCGGCAGCGAGGCGTCCTGGACGAGGACAATCTTTTTCGCGGCTTCGAGGTTGTCGAGGCGGGCCTTCTTCTTGGCATCCTCGGCAGCCTGTGCGGCCTGCTGCTTGACGAGCTTCTTCTTGTGGATATCGAGGACACTCTGGGCCTTCTTTACTGCGCTCTTGGCCGGCTCCTTCCAGGCCAAACGGGCAGCGGGGTCCTCGCCATCGGCCAGGGGGCCAGTGACGGAAGCGCGCGAGAGAAACTGCGTGCCATGGTGGTCAATCTTTTGGATGTAGGCAAAGGGGAGCGTCTTGAAGGGCTTGGCCTCGGTGCCGTCGGCGGTGGGCTCGTCGACGCCAACATCAGTGTCGACGTAGCAGATGTCGCCGCTGCGCTTGACCCGCTCAGCGAGTTCCTGAACGGCGGCCATGGCGGTTGTGGCGGTGGAGTCTATAACGTCTAGAGCTCTTTGTACAAGGATCGATGAAGTGTAACGGTTCGTTTCGTAGTCGATCTCGGGTATCACGTTGTTCTTCGGCAGACAATTTTTTTCTGTCCGTCTGAGAGAGAATATGGCGGGGTTGAGGGGTGAAGTCGAGTTGGCATGGCAGCTGTCTAAAATACCAGTGGTGGGGTGTGACTCAACGGGTAATTTTGGCTGGGCGGTGAAGCTCCGAGTACGCTGTGGCATTCTCGCTGAAACAAAGAAGAGTTCCAGTCAATCAATGATATGTATCATCTATACAGGTAATATTTTTTATTTTTCAGGCGTGATGACTCTTCTCTACCGGTGACTATTTTGCCGTCCCGGTCTGATGCATTGTGTTGTGAGTTACAAGGCATGTATCATATCAATCTGTATTCGGCAATATTTCTACCTACCCGCAGCCTGCCAACAGACAGTCACAACAATCAACCAAGACAGCTCTTCTCTGGTACCACCAACTCCTCGCTTTGCTAAATCAATCTTGTACAAAGCACATTTCTACACTATACAACCCATCCTATCCTCCTAATAATCAACCTCACAGCTCGTCCTTGACATCTGCCGCCGCCGCTTCGCCCTCCTTGGCCATGCCCTGCAGGCCCCTCTTCACCATCGAACTCAGGATCTCGTACGCGACCTGCGCCGCCGCCAGCGCCGTCTCCTCCCCCGCCCCCTGATACGCCGGCGACACCTCCACTACGTCCGCGCCGACCAGGTTGAGCCCCTCCACGCCGCGCAGCACGCGGATCAGCTCGCGCGTCGTCCACCCGCCCGGCTCCGGCGTGCCCGTGCCCGGCGCGAACGCCGGGTCCAGCACGTCAATGTCCACCGACAGGTACACCGGGTCCTCGGTGCCCAGCGTCGCCATGATGCCGTCCACGATGCCCTGCGTCCCCAGCGCGTCCACGTCGTCCGACGAGAACCGGACCCAGTTCTGCCCGGAGTCGTCCTCGTGGTCGCCCAGGTCCGTCCCGCTCAGCCGCGTCCGCAGGCCCGCGTGCACGGACGCCTCGGACGACGCGTTGGACAGCAGGCCCTCCTTGTTGGCCATCCAGAACATGGAGCCGTGCGTGAACTCCGTCGCGCCCCAGTGCGAGGGGTACTTGGCCGGGTCCCAGGTGTCGAGGTGAGCTGTGTGTGCAGTGTAAGTAGTTTCCCTTCTCAGTGCCAACCAGGGTGTTGGGAAGTCGACGTACCGTCAAAATGGAGAACCCGCACCGGCCGCCCGTAAATCTCCTTGAGCGCGCGAAGCGCTGGCAGCGTCAGGCTGTGGTCGCCGCCGAGCAGCATCAGCCGCGGCTTGTCGCTCACCGATGACACGGTGCGGCGCCGGCCGAGCTCCCGCAGGCCCTGCGTCATCTGCTCGCGCGCGATGGCGTTGTCGTACGGCGTTACGGGGATGTCGCCGCAGTCGACGATGCGCGCCCAGTTCTGGTACGGGTTGACGTGGGCGCGCGGGTTGTAGCTCCGGTAGCCGATCTGCCGGCCGGAGGCGCCGCGGATAAAGCGAGGGCCGAATCGGGCGCCTTGTAGCAATATCCGTTTAGTAAGGGGAAGGTATTGTAAAGGAAGAGTAAAAAGGAACTATCCTCTCACCTGGTCGGTAGGAAACGGCCGTGTCAAATGGAACGCCGACAATGGCAATGTCGAAGCGCTCAGCCGGGTTCGTCAGGCACTTGACGTGGTCGAGATGGGCAAAGGTGCCAATGCCGGAAAAGGCCCACTGCGAGGATGAGTTTCCGTCTCTTGCTACAATTATATGACCGCATAGTTGTAGAGTGATCGACTTACATCGTATCCCCATTTGTCCTCGAGCTCCTGCAACTCCTCCTTGGTCCATTGCCTGTCATCGTCGTGGCCGCCGCAGGCTAGCGACAGGCCCGCGTAGAGCACCAGACTGGCTAGCACGGAAGCGCGCATGATTGGGGTCCGATTTGTATAACGTAGCGGATAAAAACGACAAAAGGTCGATATGCAGTGTTATTCTTTCGGAGTAATGATGCTTGAGCTGAAAGGTACCCCGCGATAGCACCGAGCTGAGATGTCTGCTTCTTGTAGTGGAGTGAGTGTCCTTGTCACCCAGCGAAAGTTGTGAGCACACTGATAAGGATGTTTAAGCAGCAAATGATACGGCCAATAGGATAAGTCAAAGTTTAAAATCAGCCAGACGGATAGCGTAGACGCCCTTTTATACTACTTCCCCAACTGTTTCCCCAGCTTCCGTATCGGCCGGCGGTCGCTCTCCGCGGTCGCCGGGCGTGCGGGGGCAGCGCCTTGGCTGGTGGCAGTTGGTGGGCTTCTCCTCATCCTAGCCGCCGGGTCCGGCCCTTATCGGATCCGGCCGCCGGCAATCCGTCTTATGAGCTACGCTGATGAATGGTGGTAGAATGCTCCTTTTTTTTCAGCCACCGGGCTGCGATGAACAGTAAGCATGCTAGAGAAGGCGAGCTCGTGCCATTACTTTGTGAGCGCCTCCGATCGGGCTGGACTTCAAAGAGGGATTCCCATTACTTTCATCGGAGTCATGCCTAACCTCTTAGTAAAACCGGACAAGATATTTCAAAGAAACTTCATAAGTCTGGGATTCAATCAGGCATGGTGAACACAGCTCGCTCTCGCTTGCCAGCCACACACACAGATTCTCTCGCTCCGACAAAGACGCCAACCACACAGCCGACCCGGCTTTGTCAGTTGTCGTGAAAGGAAAACAAATCACAAAGAGATAACGTGGGAGAGTGCAACACAAATCCCGCTGCGCTTTCTCTCTCTCCTTCTCCACATGCAGCCCCCTCATCATGCTCCGAAACGGTGCTTTATGCGCCAGCCACGAGCCTTTCATGCATAGATGACAGCCAGCCGCTTTCGCTGCAGAGCCGAATGAAATGTCAGCTGGATAGTCATCGAGCCAGGCTATCCGGCTTGTAGTCCGACTACGGCGAAACAGTTCCGAAGTGGATCATTGGCTCATATGTTATGCCATGTGCAGTCGCCATCCTCTCATCTCACCAAGATCATGCGCTCTTTCGCTAGAAAATTCATGTCTTTTTGTACCGTCTTGTTACAAAGCAGAACATATATGGAAAACAGTGTAAAACAGATAGATTGCACTCCAGTCGCCGGAAGAGAAAAAAGGGTGGAAAAACAACGGTCCTATCGAAAAGCATGTGCTCGCCTCTGTCTGCCATCCACCGAGCTCCCTCTGGTTTGCAAAAAAACAACCCATGGAAGAAAAGCAAGATCAACAAGTATCACATATAGATCTGTGACCAAAATAACAAAATGACTTCACCGTGGTGATGTCATCTAGCCCACATCGCCGGATTCGCTTTCGCTGTAGACGGGCTCGTCAACGCTCAAGCACACTCCAGCCGACCACATACATTCCCTTGCGTCCTCGCTTCCTTGTCAAAAACTCGTATTCCAAGCTACTCAGGCTTTCTTTCGCAAAGGAGACTCCATCCAGGCATTCGGGTGCACATTCTTTCACGCCGGAGCTCGGCCGGCCAGTTTCGCGGGGGGGGTATGAATCATTACAAAATGCGACACTTGTGGGACTTTTTCTTGGGCGCGGGGGGCTCCAGAGCCGCAACGATGGCCTGCATCCTTTTCATTAGCTGCCTGGGTTCTGCATGGTAGAGGGATTCATAAAGGGATACCTCGTCAAACACGTCCTTAAGCTTATACTGCGTCAACGCACTGCACTCGACGTACTTAACGGCGCCGAGATCCTTGGCCATGCGCTCGCCGTCTTCCCTTCTAACGGGAGACATCTTTTGCTTGGACAGCTTTTCCCGTACGCTAGGGTCGTCGCGGAGATCGACCTGTGTGCCAACAATGAGGCAAGGAACGCCGGGGCAGTGGTGATGGACCTCGGGAAACCACTTCTCGCGGACGTTTTCAAACGAAGCGGGTGACGTGACACTAAAGCAGACGAGGAATACATCGGTCTGAGGATATGAGAGAGGTCGAAGTCTATCGTAATCTTCTTGTCCGGCCGTGTCAAATAGTCCAAGGGTGTAGGGCTCATCGCCAATCCTGCAGCAAGCAAAACGCAGTTATTAGCATGTCGTACAGAGCTCTGGCATCTATCGTTTAGCGTCATCGAGGCGTGACAGCGAGAAGCTATCCTTGCTTTCAGAACCCTGCCGCTTGCACACCGCCAGGGGAAAGCATGGGTGTAGAGCTGCTGCTGGGGAGCAAAGCTCTGCGAGAGCTGCAAAAAAGCCACAGACTGGAAAAAAGCCATCCACGGCATCGTAGCAAGATGCGTGATGTTGGTATCAAATGATTCAAGAGGAATAAACGTACATGACTGTGACGGCATAGTTATCAAAGACTGTAGGAACGTATTCCGAAGGGAACTTGTTCGTCGTATAGCTGATGAGCAGACAGGTCTTGCCGACGGCACCGTCTCCGACGACAACGCATCTATAAAGAAATTACAAAGGTCAGAATAATGTACCAGCAGTTATACAGAACAAATCTCGCGGTGCCGACCGTCGTTTCGCAGTCGCACGGTCGGTTGGTGATGTCCTCAGCGCACATGAGGGGCAGGGTCGCGTTGCGAAAGGGCCGCGGCATCATGGTGCGACAACAAGGGAGGCACCACGGCGGACGCGGGGAATGACGAGAACGGACGGCAGGCACCGCGTAGAGGAGGAGGACGGGATGGCGTACTTGATGGTTGCGACGACCGCCATGGTTCAGTTCTAAAGTTGCTTGTGGCGGAGGATTGCCTGTATCGTGAAGCTTCGGGGGGGCGAGAGGTGAGGAGTTGGATGGAGGTGGAGGTGGCAGCGGCAGTAGGTAGCAGTGGCAGCGGCGACAGCAGCACTAAGAGTTAGCAGCAGCGACAGCGTTGGGGGCAATTTTCTAGAGCCAGTGACGCGTAGTTCGCAGTACAAGTGAAGAAGAGGAAGAATGAGAAGACAGGGAAAAAGAGGCGCTGTTGATGAAGAAGAAAATAGAGGGGGTTAGTAACTAGGTAGCAAAGAAGACCAAAGGACGAGAGTGTGGTTTGGGGGAAGAGGTTTGGTGGTTAGTTTGGCTGGGGGTGGACGATCTGGAGAGAAGGACGAGACGGACGGGGCAGAGAAGTGAGGTGGATGAATGATGACCAACGTTAGTAGCCTGGAGAGCTTGGAGTGAAAAGGCAGGGCATCAGCCCGCCTGTGACAAGCCAGCAAGAAGCCAGTTGGACCGTCGACGGGGGCGGAGTGCTGTGCCGCGGAGGAGGTTTCTTGTACCCGCCTGTTACCTGCTGGAGAGTAGCGCGGCGGTGCGCTGGGTTAGCTACAGCAAGGTACATGTGACTACGGCTACATACATCAACGCGATGAACTGGGATGCACGCACCTAATGAATCGCCGTAGAACAAAATGTAAGGTTTGTCACTCTCTACTGAGGTGCGCATGAATAGCTCACAAACAGTATTTTGCCCTTGTTTAGTTTATTTATTCTATTCAAGTCACCGCCATGCCAGACTGACCGGGCACAGGAGGCAGCTAAGCAAAGCGAGGCGCAACAAAAACTTGAGGATGCAGAGGGGCTTTGAACAGCGCCAATACTAATGTTCTAGAAGCAGAGACTAGTAAGTGGAATTAACTTTTTTCCCTCCTCTGTCTGTCTTTGGTTAACGTCTTGAATTGCCTCTGACACCACGGCCCTTGTGCTCTTGCGTTGCCGGATGGGGACATGGGGTACAGGCAGGTAAGTTCTACTAGCACAGGCACCCGCTGTAAGTTCAGGTAACATTGCGTGCGCCCCCGCTATTCCAGCAGTTCCACTGAGCAGCGTCAGCCACTTGGAGCACACACCGGAACCGATCCCCTGTGATATTGCAACATGGTTCTTGGTATCTTGGGTTCGCAGTAGCCTGAACAGTAGAGGTAGTTGACGCTAATCTTTAAGGCTTTTACACATTTTGCCTGCCCACATTGTCATAGTCCACTTGCTTGCCCACACGTCACTCATTCAATGGTCAAGACATGTGCCAAGTGGGCGGCGCTTTCGACCAAGCCGACCTCCTGCCCGTCCCCACTCTAGCTAAACACCGCACTGTAGCCCCGAATAGGCAGGCGGTCCATACTGACACCGCAGGCATCAAGTCGGCAGAAAAGAAGACGGGGGCTTGAAACAAAACTGGCGCAGCTTCTCTTTTCGGCTTGGGACCAGCAGCCAGCGACTCACGACTCGCAAGAGCGCCGTAGAGCGACAACAATCCATTCATCAGCCCGCCTGCCCGCCCGCTAGCCCCTGCTGTTGCATATCCCATCTTTCCTTGATTCATTTATTCCAGAACGCTGTTTTAGCTCCAACGCTCCTCGCCGCTGATCGTCGCTAATGGAAAGCTATCCCGTCCCTTGGCTTGCAGGCAACCAATCTATCCTGTGGTAGCGAGGTAGCAAACGTATTCCACAGGGGCACAACCGGCATCATCGTTTTGTTTCCGAACGCGGAAGCGGCATACTGAACTGAGTATTCGGGCTTGCTGCAGGAATAGAAAGTCAAGCCATCAAAGCATCCAATACCGCCACATCGCACCTACAACTGCTATGCACCACTGGGCACAAAGCCATCCAACCCTCATTGACGTGTGACAAAAGTATTGATAGGTTGACTAGACAGGTTCCGACTCGTCGTGCTACCCCAATCTAAAAATGCGCAGATCCCGGTCCAAACTGTGCCGATGCCCAACTGCACTGCATGCTCATCAACATGATTCTTGCACCAACCGTTTGCCGCTGTCGTCCGGCTCGTTTCGTTTCTCTGCCGACTCCCCCCAAGCTTCCGAAAGAGGGGGCGGCCTTGATTACGACGGGCTGATACTTGAGCTGTCTCATCTTGTATAATAAGCCACTCGATACTTACCTCCAGTATGGACAAGCCCCTGGGTAAAGAGCGCTCGTCCCGAAACGCTCAAGTGCAGATCACTGTACCTACCGGGCCGGCAATGGTGCACTTGGCGACTGTGAACGACCAACTTGTCAACCTGTCAGCCTCCCCGAAAATAGCTCTGTCGCCTTGGTGTCCTGTGAGGTGAGGCCTTCAGGCCCGCCAAAGGATTTGCAAACACGTTTCGCAAGGGACCCCTACCGGGTGCTATCAGACACTGCACAGTTTGTCTCACTGGTGCGGTCGGTTTACTGGTCCCAGAACCCTATGCAAATCTCGCCAAACTTAAATTCTACAGGGTGTTGGCCGATATTGTGTTGACAACTTACATAGTCAGCTGTTAAAAGTTTGCCAAGGGTGAAAAGCGTGAAATTTCACTGTAGAGCAACAAAATAGTAGTTATGTGATTGGAAACCGGTACTGACTCTATTCTTGAGTGTCTCCGTCTCTCTACGGCACGGCTCGATGCCACGACAAAAGGGTCTCGTCCGAGTGGCGTGATCTCTAAACGTCACAAACGAACACCCAACCATCGGCAAGCTATGGCGTTCAAAAAATTAAGGGGCGCTCACCAACTTTCAATCGATCGCTTCCGATACGGATACATCAAAGCCCCAAATGCGGGAGACGTGGTAACGACTAATAAGGCTCGGTATTCCGCTATGCAGTCGAGTACATGGGCCGAACCGCAGCTGAGTCAGGACAAGAACATCGCCATTGCCAGCTTTGCACCGAAGAAGAGTGGTAGAAATTACGCCATTTCTTACCACACACATCGACTAATCAACTAGCGATTGACAAGACACTTAATATGATAATGCACTCTTTGTGTTCGCAAGCGCAGCTCCCTTGGATATATATTACTCGGTCTCCGCGGATCCTCACCTGCTTCCAGCCTAGCTAGTACTGCGGGCGCCATACCTGATGGGCAAGTAGTTACCAGTATTACTGGCCCAAGTAAATGCTAGAGGAAAATTAATAATAAAGCCGTCGGCCCCAGAAAAGCTTTGGCCGTGCAATTCCCAGTGATAGTTACCCAGACTTGGCTGTTTCAAACCACCGTCCATCTATCTGCTTTTTATTAAGCGCCACTGTAGAGGTGACAACAAACTCGCCCTTCAAGCTCGGAATGACTTGAGAACGTTCCGCCCACTGCGCTATCTTCTTCGGGCTCGCTCTCTAGGCAGTGGCCCCGGTGCCGCGCCCTTCCACCATGGTTCCTTGGCTGAGCTCCGGCGACAAGCCACCAACATGCCTGGCCTTGCGGTCGTCGTCGGCCACCATCACCCTCACCGTCAGCTTTGCTGTTTTCACCGTAAGCAGTTGATCGGGCTCTTTCAAGACCTTCAAACGCCTGGTGGTTTGCATCGAGTCTAACCGACGACAGGATGTCTTCCTCTATGCCGTCGTCGTCCCCGTGATTCCATTCACACTGGAATCTCGCATTGGTGTCTCTCCCGACAGAGGTATGCTTTTATACTTCAAATTGGCACTAGAACTCTCTAATTGACGTATTGATTAGTTCAATATTGGGTGTCGGTGTCGCTCGCAGTATTTGCTGTGTCCTTGTTCACCTCGTCCCGTTTGTTCCACCCACTTTGCTCCTCTCTGCACTCTATCATGGCTAACAATATTTTTGCAGCAATTTGGGGCTGGATGGCCGATAGATATCAAAATCGCAGAATCCCAATGCTTGTCGGTCTTCTATGGCTTCTCGCCGCTACACTTCTTCTCTGCTTAAGCAGTAACATTGCCATGTTACTCATCGCCCGTATCCTACAAGGCCTGTCGGCGGCCATGACCTGGAGTGTCGGTCTTGCGTTGCTGATTGACAGCGTCGATAAAAATCACGTTGGTCGCGCCACCGGCTGGACGAGCACCGCGCTAACGCTCGGCATTCTGCTTGGTCCGCTCATAGGAGGTATTGTCTACGATAGAGCTGGCAACTATGCGGTCTTTGGTATCTGCTTCGGCCTAATCGGCATCGACATCATACTGCGCCTATTGATCATCGAAGCTAAGGATGCAAGGAAATGGATGCTCCGAAAGACGGAATCTGACGCAGCAGCTACCGCCGAGCTGACTGCGAGCGCAGGGCAGAGTGAAATAACCGCAGCTCCCCAATCTTCCACCATCCAGGCCAGCAGGAAACCTGGGATACCTGAAGAGGAGCTCAATGACAACGAACGAAGGAAATCACATGGTGCATTCTCCATTGCAGGGAAAAATGGGATATTGGGGCTCCTGCGGAAACGACGTATGCTCTGTGCTCTCTTTGGCGTCATCATCCAGGCCGCGACGCAGACCTCATTTGACGCCATCATGCCCCTACAAGTCCACGAAGTTTTCCACTGGGACGCCATCGGTGGCGGCCTCATCTTCCTCCCTATTGTGCTCCCTACATTTTTCAGCCCTCTTATCGGCAGTCTTGGCGACAAGTACGGGCCGCGCTGGTTCACCGCCGGCGGGTTCCTCTTCTGCGTACCATTTCTCGTGTGCTTCAGGTTCGTGACCGAAAACACCATCAACCACAAGGTGATGCTTTGCGGGCTGCTGTTCGCTGTCGGCCTCGGCGAGGCGCTGCAGGTGGCGCCGCTCATGGCGGAGATTTCGTGGGCTGCCGACGAGGGTTGCGAGTTGTCCGACGATGGTGAGGCGAGCGCCGTGCCCTACGCACAAGCCTACGCGCTCTACAACATCTCCTTTGCCGCGGGCGCTATCATAGGCCCGCTGCTCTCGGGCATGGTGCGCGAGAGCGCGGGTTTCGGGACGGTCGGCTGGAGCCTGGCCATCCTCAACGGGGTAACAGCGCTCGTCATGCTCAACTGGGTCGGCGGCGCGCCGCTCTACAGATTCAGACAGGGCATAAAGCGAGGCGGTGCCGGTGGCTCGCAGGCGCCGTCTGATACGGGCGCCGCGGCGGTTGCAGGTGCGGAAAGCGGACAGCAGAACGACGCCCAGGAAAAACGGACGGCGCAGTAACTTACATACATATTGCATTCCACCTTTGGCATTTGGCATTCGACATTAAGCGTTAGAAATCAAGATACCATGATTGCTCCTATTTTTAGCCCGCAAACAAGAAAAGACGTTGATTCTGCATGTTTGATTAAAATGAACGAATTGTTGATTTGTAGCCCATACTCGGTGGTGTCGTCGATATCGTCGCTGCCTAGGGCTCCACTAGCTCCAACAAAGGTCATGTCCTCATAGCCATCCTCCGTGCATCTACAAATCAAGCCAGGCAACGACAATTTGAGAATTACAGCCAACAAAAACAGTCTGCTTCTTTTTTTTTTCTTTGCAATTCTCCATTGTTCCCATTTCTGCTTTGCTATTTACGACATCAGCAGTCCCTTACTCGGGGAAAAGAGAACCAGCCCCGGATCACCATGTCGCTGCCACCGTCCCAGGAGGACCAGGTCATCGACGAGCTCCTCGAGCGGTACCTCGGGCTCATGGACGAGTACGCCGCGCTGCGCGCCGCCCTGGCCGGCTCCCACCAGCGCACGCTGCACGCGCTCGCCCGCGCGCGCTTCACCGGCGACCGTGGGGCGCGCTTCGGGCCGGACCAGTACGACGACCGCATGCGGGCCTCGCGGCGCGTCGCCGTCGTCGGCTCACAGCCAGCGTCCTTTTCCGTGGTAGAAGAGGAGGCGGTGGAGGAGGAGGGGGGCGGAACTGCTGCTGAGGGGGGGGCGCAGGACGAGGAGGACGCGGAAAGGAAGAAGAGGGCGGCGAAGAACCCGCTGCGGTGGTTCGGCGTGCTCGTGCCGCAGGCGCTGCGGGACGCGCAGACCGAGGCCGTCCGGACGGTCGAGGACGTGGTGCCGCGGCTGGCGAGCGTGCAGGCGGAGATGGCGCACGTCGAGATTGAGGTGCGCAGGGCGCGCAAGAGGCGCGCCAAGGCGGGTAAGAAGCAAGAGGCTACAAGCAACGTGGGCCAGGCGATTTCTACCTCGTCGTGATTGCAACGGTTTTTACGCAACATGTATATATATATAATAATATGGGTTCATTTTAACGCGGTCCTATCGTATTGTATCCAACGTCGCGCAGACATCCTCCATCTGCTCGGCGTACTCGCTCAGATGACCAACTTGGGCGCGAAGCTGCGTCGCGATGCCCGCGATGGCGGCGATGGAGTGCTTGTAGCGGTTGCGCATGCCCTGGTTGGCCTGCGCGAGCACCGTGCAGCAGAGCTGCAGGACGGCAACGTGCGCGTCTTGCGCGGGCGTTGGCGAGTCGGCGCGGCCGCTGTCCGGGACGTCCCACGCCGCGATGGCGGTGATGAGGTCGAGCCACGCCTCAACCCTGGACGCGTCGCCGGCTTCGGCGACGGCCAGCAGCACGCGCACGATATCCACGCATATACCCGCCTCCCCATCGACGTCGACCTCGCGGTGCCGCTGGATGTTGTGCACCAGCATCTCCGTCAGAATCTGCCAGCCGCCCTGCTCCACGAAGGCGTGGCGGCCGCGCCGGATCGCCACGAGGCCTTCCAGCCCGACGAGCACCGGCGGGCGAAAGTCCATCGTCTCCATGGGGCTGTTGGCGAAGAGCTCCACGAGGACGTCGACGATGCCGGTGCCCTCCTTGCGCAGCTGCTCGTTCTCGTCCTCGCGCAGCCAGAGCGTCGCCGTGCGCAGCGCGGACAGCATGAGCTGGTCCTCGTCCGCGACGGCGCCGTCGATCGCGTCCCAAGCGATGGTGAGGTGCGACCCGGTGCTCGTCTCCGCCTTGCCGGCGCGCGCGCCCGGGTCGAAGCCCATGGCGCCGGAGCGCGCCGCGTCCCAGCGGTCGCGGACGTACTCGAGCGTTACGGAGATGGTCTCGGAGATGCCCTTGCGGATGCGCAGCAGGAAGTCGGGGGGCATGATGAGCGTCTCGAGGCGCTCGTCCTCGAGGGACCGCACGAGGTAGCCGATGAAGAGACAGACAATGTCAAATGCTGAGGCCAGGCGCCTCGAGGTCTGCTGGTACCCGGGGGAGTTGAGGGCGGCGAGGAGGGTGGGCACTGAGGAGCGGATATCGACGAGAAGGAGGTTGACGAAGAGGTATCCAAACGGCGTTTCCGTGTTGGTGGGATCTTTGAAGAGAAGTTCGGATGCATGCTCGGGATAAGCTTGTAGAAGACCGGCGGCTGCGCTGGTATATGCGGCGCGGGCTTCGGCGGCTGGCCTGCTGGCTACAAGACATTGAATGTATGAAGCAGATGTAGATAGCCATTTTGGGTTCTTGGGCATAACCTATTTCTCGTCAGAAGAGACTCCTAGAGTAGCGCATTTATCGCAAGCTTACCTCTGGTTTAGCATGGCTTAGAAAGGTACCCAGAAATGCCAAATATGTGACGGCATCGGTACCTTTGAAAAGGGCGGCCAGCGCTTGTATGACGGCATCTATTTTCTCTGAGAAACCTGCATCGGATGCGCCGCCGGCCATGTGGTGTAGCCACGCGCGACCAAAGACGTCCAGCACCATGGCATGGCTTGCCGCAATTTCCGTGAGAGGCGTCGTATCGGCGACTTGCATGAATGCGCCGGCCCCCTCTTTCGAGTTGACGAGCGTATACAGGAGCTGGAGCAGCAGCCCCGTCGTATCCCCGGTGCTGTACAGCGCCGCCGCTACCAGGCCCGGTATGCGCGCGGTGAAGGCATCCGCAGCCGTGTCCGTCGCAGCAAGTAGAACAGAAAACGTGTAGAGTATGGAGACGCCAATGTCGAGCATGTCCTTGGCGTTTGCGTTGGCTGGGTTGGCGCCGGTGCGTAACAAACGATCTAGAAATTTGGGTGAGATGTGAGACCACAGGTCGCGCACGGCAGCCTCATCGTTTCGAATCTCGGGTGTATTATCGAGAAGTGACTTAAGTAGAGCCAGACCGACAAAGCGCTGCGTGTCATCTTTTGACTTGAGCAGCGCTTTCAGCTTTGTGATGTTATTGCCACTAGGTGCCTGTTGGACTGGCTTATCTGAGGACGGCTGGGAGGCCATGCTAAGATTTAGGGCAGAAAATTGCAGCCGGCGGTGAAAGAGCAGTTATTCAATGTCATTTATAGAAACAATGCCTAGTTGAATGCGTTTGGCATTAAATTGTGAGCCAACTTTGACTTGTAGAAGTTTGCAGGGTAGTTGAAGGGTGAAAATCACGACGGTAGATTCACTTGGTGTTTGCTGTTTGTGGATCCGCCGTTGCACGTACTTACATGCAGTTGTTGGAACTCGCTCTGTTTGCAACAACAAACGGCAAAGAGCTACTTTCGTGGGGAAGTGAATGACGAAAAAAAACCCCCCAAAACAAAAGCAAAAAGGAAGAAGCCGTGCTTTGATCCTCGCACGATACTTCAATTCGTCATTTTTTTCCTCTCATGCCGAGGGTTGTGGAAAGAACAAGCAACGAGCACTAAGACGGTTCATCAATCAATATGGCGAGCCTCGCGCTTCTTCTCAGCGGAGTCCTGAAATCAATTTCACAGCACCTTTCGAACAAAGACGCCAAAACTTTCGACTGGCGGGAAGAGCGACGGCTGATCGCATTGAACTGAAGCTACAGCGAGTCTTTCTGAGCCCCAACTATCGCAACATTGAAGTATTCCGCGCCGTAGCGGATCACGAAGTATATCGCCATCAGGTCAAAGAAATAATATGGGATGATGCACTACTGTGTGACTCTGAGCGCCAAGGCATGGACTGCGAGAAAGCCGCAAAGCACTATGAGCAAGATTACACATCTCGTTTCCACCCCATTTCGAAGCGGCAGGACAGATTCGCTGACTGGCTGCAACATCCAGCAATAATCAAGAATGGCGAGGTCCGACTCGAAGTCCTTCATTGCTGGTTATACTATCACCAGCTATGGCAAGAGCAACGAGTGATCCTGAACCAAGGTCTAGACATCAAAGCCTTTTCATCATGGTCTTGAAAGATTCCAGAGCTTGTCCCGCGTCACCATTACTCCAGCGGCACATGGAATAATGTTTCTGCCAGTCTACAAGACGCCAATGATTCGAGCTTTTCCACATGGATTTATGTACCCATTGATGGAATGTGAAATGGCATACGGGGAACCTTACTACCCCGAACCTCAACAGCCGAACGGGGACGCACCTGAGCCTCGCGGCTTCACGTTGGCAACGCGAGATCATTCAGTGAAGGAGTTGCTTGTGGGGGGACTGAAGTATACCGCACGCTTCACAGTGGCTCTCTCAACAAGCCGTCAGAGCACTATGTCAACTTTTTGAGATTCGTCAGAAGGCCTGGGCTTCGTCGTCTTGATATCGTCCTGGACTGTGGGCCGTTCTTGGAGGCAAATTCGCCTGAAAATCGACGTTTGTACAATGCATTCGCAGAAATGACTGATTTGGAGCATATTCACTTTGGAATTGACCGACCTTGGGAAGACTGGAGCAAGAGCTCCTCAGTCCTTGACATTCTCCCAACCAAGAATTGGCCGCAGCCTCGCCATTTCGGATTATCGCGATGTGCTGTCACCGGGGGCAATTTGGTCAAGTTCCTCGAAGAGCCCCCCCCCGACAATTCAAACCATAGAGCTAAACACCATATACGTCCCGGACAAAGATGAGCATGTCGATTACCGGGGCATTCTATGCGGTTTGCGCGATTCGTCGGCGTGGCAGGCCTGAACTGGGGGCGAGCGCCAAAGTCAGCGTCCACATAGGCGTCGCTTTGGAACAAATCGGCCAGGCAATCTGGACCGGCGATGGAGCGAACAAATTTCTGTACGAAAATGGCCCCAGCCCGTTTGAACATGAGGACGGCACAAGTTATGTATATCCTCTTCGAAACCGCGGCGCAATCGAACGCGACGTGTTTTTACCAGAGCTGGGGCGCCCATGGTGACTGCTGGATGGAGGGAGCTGGGCTTGGAAGAGCAGCGATCTGGAGAGCGGAAGCTGGTTGATACAGGGTATCTTTCAATTGCTTAATTTCCTCAAAGATGGAGTTATACTATCTTGACGCAAAGTTATGACAAATTGCTGAGGCAGATGCGATGGGGGTTTTTTTAGCCAGGGAACAGCTGATCGGAACGACCCAAGGGAAGAAAGAGAGAAATTACATTGCTTCTAAAAGGAAAAGAATTTAGGAAATCAGAGAACAAGGCGATATAGATATAATAATGGAGAGGGATTAAAAAAATTGCAGAGGCTCATTGTACAGTACCTATCCAGTATCCCAGCACTATAAGACCGCCTGAGGCACTGTAAGCAGTTCGCGGGAGAGGCACGTTGACGGTGCCGATGGAGACCGAATTACAATGCGTGTAATATTGGATGTAAAGAGGCTGAAGTAGAAACTTAAATATCGATAGAGTTATTAGAAATAAATATAAATAACAAACTAGGAATAATTCTGTTGACAAAAAGGTACAAGCAGACATGAGCAAAGATCGCCGTGGGGTTTTGACATAATACAGGGGGGCGCAGGCTGGACCCTCCCAATGCAATCGCAATCGCCAAGCAGTTTAAGCTCATGCGTGGCGCAAGTCGTCAATCTTAAACTTTGCAACACCGACGATGCGATAAGGAGGGAGCGACGGAAAATAGAAAGGCTCCCGAGCACGCATAATGTCTGCAGCAGACAGGCACGACCCGTTTGCCCCTGAATCCTCCTCATCTCACCAGCACAGCGAACCGCCCTCGTCCGAGGACCGAGACGAACTCGACTTTCTCGGCGGTGATGACGACGACGACAACGTCGACCGCACCGTGCTCGAAGACGATCCAATTCATCACGACGAATTTGACACGTCCATATCGTTTAAGCGAAAGTCGAAGCCCTCGCTCCTTGCCAGCCCTGGGCGGCTGCTGTCCGCGCTGACTGGCAGCAGCGGTAGCGGCAGCGGCGGTGATGGGACCGGCAGCAACACGGCCAGCAGGACGCCGCCTCGGACGCCTGCGGCATTTCCAAATCTGTCATCGCCTCGAAGGACGGGCGGCAGCAACGGAGCCGCCGCCTTAAATACCAAGGATGGGAGCACCGCCGCGGCGGGGGCGCTGGACTGGCACATCGAGGGCCCCGGGCGGCGCGTCGGCTACGACGACCTCACGGCCATCGACTGGATCTTCGAGTACACCAAGGAGCGGCAGCGGCTGCGCGCGCTGACGGCCGACGCCGGCAGCAGCCTGGTCGGGCACGCGCGCCGCTTGATCGACGCCAGCCAGGTCTGGGTTGTCATGGTGCTGACGGGCCTGGCCGTCGGCGCCATTGCCGCGCTCATCAACATCACCGCCGACTGGCTCGGCGACCTCAAGCTCGGCTACTGCGCCAGCGGGCCCCCGGACGGCGGCCACTTTTACCTCAACAAGGGCTTCTGCTGCTACGGCTACGACCAGGGATCGAAGTGCACCGGCTGGCGCTCCTGGAGCGACGCGCTTGGCCTGCACGCCGCAGCTGGGCGCTGGATCATGGAGTACATTCTTTACCTGTTTCTGTCTGTACGTTGGTGCTGGCCTCTACCGTATGCTTTGTGCTGAGCACTATTCTAATGACTGTCCTAGGTACTGTTTGCTCTGTGCGCTGCCGTGCTCGTGCAGGAATACTCCATCCACGCCAAACACAGCGGCATACCAGAAATCAAGACCATCCTCGGCGGCTTCGTCATCCGCCGTCTGCTCGGCGCCTGGACGCTCGTCGCAAAATCCCTTGGCCTTGTTCTCGCCGTCGCGTCCGGCATGTGGCTCGGCAGGGAAGGTCCCCTCGTCCACGTCGCCTGCTGCTGCGCCAACCTCTTCACTAAGCTCTTTGGCAACATCAACGGTAACGAGGCGCGGAAGAGAGAGGTTCTGTCTGCGGCTGCCGCAGCAGGCATCTCCGTCGCGTTTGGCTCGCCCATTGGCGGAGTGCTGTTCAGCCTGGAGCAGCTGTCGTATTACTTCCCCGACAAGACCATGTGGCAGAGCTTCGTCTGTGCCATGACGGCTGCCATGTCGCTGCAGGCCTTTGATCCCCTGCGCTCTGGGAAGCTAGTCCTGTACCAGACCAAGTACAGTCGAGACTGGCACGGGTTCGAAATCCTTCCCTATGCGATTCTCGGTATCATGGGAGTATGTTCCTTTCTCAACGCCCGTCTCCGTCTCCCCATGCTAACAGCGATCTAGGGTGTCTATGGCGGACTCTTTATCAAGACCAACATGTTTGTCGCGCGCTGGAAAAAGGCCAATGGCTGGCTGCCCGGGCCCATCACCCAGGTGCTCGCCGTCGCCCTACTAACCGCCCTCATCAACTTCCCCAACCACTACATGAAGGTGCAGTCGACTGAGCTTGTGTCGAACCTGTTCCAGGAGTGCTCGAAAGTGCTCGAAGACCCCGTCGGCCTGTGCACGACCGGCGCCGCGTCCGCGCGCACCGTCGTCCTACTGCTCTTCGCCGCTCTTCTCGGCTTCTTCCTCGCCGCCGTCACCTTTGGCCTGCAGATCCCGGCGGGCATCATCCTGCCGTCGATGGCTATTGGCGCGCTCGTCGGCCGCGCCGTCGGCATCCTCACCGAGATGCTCGTCGATAGCCACCGCGGCTTCCTGCCCTTCCGCGCGTCATGCGCGCCGGACGACGGCGCGCCGTGCGTCACGCCGGGCACTTACGCCATCATCGGCGCCGCCGCCGCGCTCGCCGGCGTCACGCGCATGACCGTCTCCATCGTGGTCATCATGTTCGAGCTCACCGGCGCGCTCACCTACGTGCTGCCCATCATGGTGGCCGTCATGCTCGCCAAATGGGTCGGCGACGCCCTCGCGCGCCGCGGCATCTACGAATCCTGGATTCACTTCAACGAGTACCCGTTCCTAGACAACAGCGAGGCGGCGCCGCCGACGCTCCTCGCCGCCGACGCCGCGCAGGTCATGACGCGCATCGAGGACCTCGTCGTCCTCACCGCCACCGGCCACACCATCGCCTCCCTGCACGACGTCCTCGCCGCCCACCCCTGCCGCGGCTTTCCCGTCGTCTCAGACCCGCGCGACGCCGTCCTCCTCGGCTACATCTCCCGCGCCGAGCTCAGCTACAACGTGCGCGCCGCCTCGGCGCCCCCGCGCAGCCTGCCTCCGCTCACAGAGGCCTTCTTCGCCCACCAGCCGCTCGCCGACCCGCGCACCACCCTCGACCTCCGCCCCTGGATGGACCAGACGCCCCTCACCCTGCCCTCCCGCACCAGCCTGCACCTGGTCGTCTCGTACTTTCAGAAGCTGGGATTGCGCTACGTGCTCTTCAGCGACCGCGGGGTGCTGCAGGGCCTGCTGACCAAGAAGGACGTCTGGTACGTGCTCAACGGCGCGGACGAGACGCGGCGCACGACGGCCGGCGGTGTTCGGGCGGGGGCGGGTCGCGCCGGCGGTAGGGGGGCGACGGGGTCGGGCCAGGACGGGGCGTTGCTGGTGTCAGACGACGAAGCGGACGATGATGGGGTCGCTCGTCCAAGCAGTCCGATGCTGTAAAGCCACTGATGGTAAAGCAGGTGGCCCGATGGATAATGAAATGGGGATGGCAGGATGTATATACATATACGGTGAATTTGGAGTTTTCATGAAAGACACGCCCTTTGATTTACCGTCATCTCCCAGGAGTTGAATTTGTTCCACACTCGTAAATAGACGTCTGACAGCCGTTACTAAATGATCACACAAAAATGCCAAATTGAATCCATACGCCATGACACACAACACATGCCGCCGCCGCCGCCGCCGCAGCATATAATTTTTTCCCCCACTCAATACTCGAAGTCATCGTCCACAGCCGGCCCCTTGTTCTTGGTCACGCTCTCCTGCTTGCGGTACATCTCCGCCACCTGCCTGCTGGACGTGGCCTCGTCGGGCTTCTTATCGTCGCGGATCTTGATGAAGCGGGGGAAGCGGAGGCTGATGCCCTTGCCGCCGGCCGGGTCGACGCCCTCACCGCAGCCGGCCTTGTAGCGCGGGCTGAGGGTGAGGTCAGCCGTGCGGACCTCCCAGACGTGCTGGGGCTCGAACCAGACGTCGGGCTGGTGCTGGTTGCCGGCCGAGTGGGCGTAGAAGGGCTTGGGCCGGTCGATGACGAGGGCGGACAGCGAGGCGTGTAGCTCCTCGAGGACCTGCTCGGAGAAGCCGGTGCCGATGTTGCACACCGTCTCGTACGTGTCCGAGTTGGGGTTGTAGCAGGCGAGGAGGAACGCGCCGTAGACGGAGGTGCGCTTGCCGCGGCCGTGGTACGCGCCGAGGACGACGAGATCCAGCGAGTCGCCGACACCGGCTAGGTAGTCCTTCTTGATCTGCATATATGGTTAGATGGAAAGGGAAGGATAATGAACGTGGTGGCAGCATACCTTGAGCCAATTTCGACTTCTCTTACTGGGCTCATATCCACTCTCCGTGCCATCCAACATCTTAACCATGAGACCTTCGCAGGAAGCCTTGACGCTTTCGTCCAGGAATACTTGAATCTCGTCAAGCTCCTGGCCGTTCATCGAAGTGGCAAAGGCGAACTCGCCCTCTACAGGCACAAATGCCTGTTCCAGAAGCGCTCTCCGTTCGCGCAGTGACTTTTCCACAACAGGTTGTCCGTTTAGGTAGAGTAGGTCAAAGGCAAAGACGCAGACCTTGACCTTGACATCCTCCACTTTGACATCCTTCTTCTTTCTCGCCATGAGCTGCTGGAAAGGCAGCACCGTCTTTTCTACCGTGTCCCACGCGACGGTCTCGCAGTCGAGAACAAAGCTCTTGGTATCCTCCTTGACCCAGCTATGGAGCTTGGCGAGAATGTCTGGATACTTCTTGGACAGGTCTTCCGAATTGCGAGAGAAGATGCTGGCCACTCCCTTCGCTGCTTCTTTGTGGGCGCCAGGTGCGGCCTGGCTGAGTTCTTGAGGGGCGTCATTGGCAACGTAATGGATTTGAGCACGCTCGCCGTCGTACTTGTATTCACACGTGAATGTCTGACCCTCGAAGCGATCAAGAACTTCAGTGATGGCTTTTGTAGGCTTTGCCAACATGGGCTTCAGTGGTACACCAGGCTGTAACTTGCATTGGTCACGCAGGTTGAGAATACCATGGGAGAGCATGGCAGGGATGATGACGTCGTAGCTGGGAAGTTCGCTGTATAGTGTCAGATTTCGTACGTAAGTAGCCGATTGCAACAGATGACTCACCTGTAGACTGTCTTGAGAATACTCTCACCCTTCTCCATGTCCGCTGTGCTTGGCAGCTTGCCGCGCTGGTCAGCATCGTGGCAAACAACGGCCTGCGCAAGAGATACTAGAACAGTCTTTTCTGCCAGACCCAACCGAAGCTTTCCTTCAAGGAACCGAATGATATACTTGGCTTCGCTCGGGCCACCTTTGTCTTGGGTAATGTCAACCTTGCCCCTGGTGTGTGCATCAGACGCAGAAAGAAGCTTCTTGATACCATCAACCTTGCGGCCCTGCGCTCCATTTCCAGTGACGGTGGCAATGCCCATCAAACCCTGATGGACGCCGCGAACCGTCAGTGGCTTCGGCTTGAACATGGTTGGTTGTGTCGATCTGCTCTTCAAAGCGACGAGGCCGAGATCGCCAATTTCTTTTTGATCAGCCTTGATAACTTGCAGACTTCGTCCAGTCGACTCGCCGATGGCCTTCATGATCAATGACTCGCCGATACCAAGTTCAATACCAGCATAGTCGGGGGCCAACTTGTTGATCATGAGCAAGACTGTAGGAAGGAGGTCATCAGGGGTGAGACGCATGACTTGGCGTAAGAAAAGCGCGCAGTGCTCCATGATAATTAACCGCTTAGTCGTCATCTCAATGAGAGAGAAGGTAGTGCATAACGCAGCGTACGGGACGGGAGCCCCAGGTTTCCAGTCCGGGTATGGATCCTTGGTCTTGGAGCTGAGTTTCGTTTGAGCCAGTTTGCGCGCCTTTGCAGCAACTTCAGGCTTTTCCTCTAGATCGCCCTCAACGTCTGAGCCAGACTCCGCAGCGGCCTCCTCCTTGAAGTCCTGGTCGACGCCATTTTCTTTCTTCGCGGGCGGCTCAGGACTAGGCTCAGCAGAGGATTCGACTTTGACTGGCGAGTCCATCTGTTCTTCTTTCTTGATTGGCTCCGTTGTAGGGACAATATCCTCGTCATCGTCTTCGATTTTAACGCGGCTGCGTCGTGGGCGCTTTGCGACGGGTGCGCTGTCTTCGTCCTCATCCTTCTTGATCGATGCTTTGGAGTCGCTACTTGAGGCTAATCGAATGCGCTTTTTCGAGTCTTGGGTTCGGGTTAGTTGCAATGCACGTAGCTATTGAGTTTGAAGTGGCGGCGTACCAGCATCTGGATCTGTATTCTCCTTTGTGCTCGAGCCACCATCGGCAGATTCAGTCTCGGTCTTGGGCTTTGTTGAGAAAGCAAGCTTGGATTGCCGAGCTGGCCCGTCCGATTTAGCGCCGAAGAACTTGCTATACGATTAGTTGTCAGCTGTCTGTGGCCCTTGCAAGGCAGCCAGGGACGATCTAGAGGGACAAACACACCCAATCGACGTCTGAGAAGGCTTAACGTACCCCAAAGTGGCCTGCTTGGGCGCCATGGTGCTGATGGTCGATGCGTGTGCGCGTCGGAGCACCGAAGCAGCGGAATGAGTCTGGCGCAGCACCAATCTTCCCAGAGCTCTGCTCGAAGCCACGGCGAAGGAAGGGAAATGCGACAAGCTTGGTGAGAGCAAGAGTGTGCCGCTGGGGGCGTGGGAGGAAACTCGCGGTGATTGATAGTCTGTTCGAGATTTGAAGATGCCAACTGAGCGGTTTGTGACTTGGGGATAGTTCGCCGTTAAATAGGAGCAGCTGTGTCTTATTTCGTAGGCTACAGTTGATGCAACGCGCCGAGTATATCGCTGCATCTCGAAGCTATCTTTCCTGGGTCTAAAGTTAGGCAGAACCGCGTTAAGTGGGCGTCGTGACACGCTAGTGGAATTGCTGGACTTGACGGACGACGCGAACTACACGTGACTCTTCGCTTCAATCTCTAGGCAGCCAGGAGCTCGGCTCTGAACTCTCACGGATGGACGAAAGAAGCCTCCCGAAAAATGCTATCGAGATGAAGGGGTCTTGGCGCTCTGGAAAACCCGCTGATTTATTTTAACATCTATCAACTCTTCTCTTCGCCTAGCAAGATCGCGAACTTGCCAGCGTCTTTCCCAAATTTGAGCGTCACCAAGTCTCGCAAGGTGAACGTCCAGTCGTGTTGTTTCGCCCACCAAACAACTGGCGAAGACTCATGCATAAGCACCGCTGGTAGCATAGAACTTCTACCAGTGGCATCGCCGACCTGCTTCTTTCCACCAATTTTATCAGTGCGAACTCCAAACGGAGACACCAGATACCAGCCCTCCGTTGGTTCCAAATCTCCCAACTGCAGCGGACCCTTAGGTATCCCTGCTATAATCTTCATGTCAGCGGATGCACCGTGTGAAAAAAGCAGTGTCACAATATCTTCGTGCTTCTCTTCCTGTGGAATGTCGCCCGTTACAATGGCCCATAGTATGACCTGCCAGCATGTCCAGGCGTCTTCCGGGGCAGTTGTCGCGCCCTGCCAGGTGCCGTGCCAACTCCAGTTAATCTCCAAGCCATTTTCGAAGAACTCTTTCAAGACTTTAAGCAACCTTTCCACCGACACTTTTGAACTTGAAAGGCCAGGGGTGTTGTTGATCACAGGGATTAGTTGGCCCCCCTGAAGCTCGCGCGAGCAGATGGTCGGCCTGTTTGCAGGTCTGCATCGCCGTATCATGCCCTGGAACGCATGAAATAGCCCTGCGCTCATTGCCTTCTTGCTGCCGTCGAGGATGGGCTGTTTTCGCTTCCATTCACTATACTCAAAGACATGGTTGGCCAGCGTCAGGTTGATCAGAATCTGATGAGGCGAACTGTCCTCTACCGCGAGGCGAACACGCTGGAGTGGCAGTAAGAGTGTCAAGTGTCGCCTAATGGCATCACCAATGGCGTCGAGAAGGCTGAGAAACCTTGCAGACTTTGCCTTCTGCAATGCCAGGGCGCACTGAATCAGCTCGCTCAAGCGCTGTACCAAGGCATCTGCGAGGAGCCCGCTCAGCTCTACGCTCTCGCTTGGTGGTAGGTTTGTCCTGTCCTTCAGCAGTGGGAAGTCTTGCGGCGAGGCAAAACGTAGTGCGGCCAAGTCGCTCGACGCCATTGCCAAGAATGGATCAAAGCTCCCTACGTAGGTTGCCATGGTCGCAGCGGCAGGTGGACTCTCGAGGAACTCGACCACCGAGCGATGGGTAAAGGTAATGTACAACTTGTCTGTGCCATTGGCCGGCCAGCTGCGGACATGTGACAGGTTGGACACCGCCAGGAAGCCCCTGGGCCGGCAGAGAACTTTCCGGCGCGCTGCTTCCTGCCGTTCCTCGACGCTGGCCGTCTTGGAGTCGGACCGTGGTGAAAACGTGGTTAGGTTCCAGGACTGCGACACCTCGTCCATGAGCATGAACTCCATGAGCCCAACGCCCGGGTAGCCGCCGCCGCCGCCTTCCGATAGCAGCTCCGCGACAGTAAACTGCGTGAATCGCGCCAGCGCCATGGCCTTGTACGCCCACGGCCGACTGTGCTCGGTGACCGACTTGTGCACGTACGGCAGGAAGTCGTCCAGCTCCGACGGGAAGCGCCGGGCGCGGCCCTCGAGCTCCCCCGCGTTTCGGATGTCGCCCGCCTCCGCGCCATCTTCGAGCGACGAGACGGCGAGCACTACCCAGAGGAACACGCCTACGGCGCGTTCCACCAACAGCGGCCCGAGGATGTCCGGGCTCTCCTCGCGGCTGGGCAGCAGCCGCGCCAAGGCCGGGCTGGCGCGGAGGCGCGCGGCGACTAGCAGCGACATGTCGTCCTTGGTCAGCTCGTGCAGGCGAAACTTGGCGGTCTTGGCAAAGAAGGACTCGAAAACGCCGTGCTCACGGCTTGAGACGCAGATCTTGACGGTGGACGGGTATTGCGATACCCACGACTGCATGAGCGTGAGCAGCGCGCCGTGGTCGCCTTCCAACTCGTCCAAGCCATCCACCACGAGAAGCAGCGCGTACTTCTTGCTGCGGGCGAGTGCGCTCAGCATGTTCTGAAATGCCATCTTAACATCCTCGTCGCTCACCGCGGCCACCGCCGCGTCATCCCCGTCTGTGGTGAGGAGGCTCGCACAAAGCTCCGGCATCGCCGCGGCCGCAATGGCTGGCTGCGCCTCGAGTACAGAGCACAGCAGGCCACGGAGCATTCCACTGACGCTCTTCTGTGTGGGCCGGCCCGGCTTCCAGAAGAAGAAGCGGCCAAGCACGAGCGTTGTCGACGACGTGGTAGCGGTGTCTGCCCAGCGACCACGCTGGGCTCGCTCGTAGAACTCCGGACTACGGTAGATGAACTTCATGAGGGTCGACTTGCCCGCGCCAGGCTTTCCGGACACGTAGAAGAAGCCGGTGCCGGCGTCGAGCCAGTCCAGGAACGCCCTCTTGGCCGCTGCCCGATGGTCGTCGAGCGCGGCCTCGCGCTCGTCGCCGGGCAGCAACCAAGCGAAGGTGTCAGTCTCGGCGGTGGTGATGCTGTCGAATCTCTCGTGGAGCTTGTAGAACTGGAGGGCGGCAAGGGCTGCGGCCTGCTGTTGTTTGGCAATGAGGCTCTCTAGATGAAGAGCGAGGGTCTGGACGGCCTCACTGGCGCAGCCTGCCAGAATGGCCATCGAAGCACGTAGTGATGAGGAAGCAGCCTGCAAGGTCGCCATTTTGGAGGCGTCAATTCGTGGCAGTAGTGACAGCTCGTGATGCTCATTTTCAGCATCTTCCCTGTGCCTTTCTGTCAGTTGCCGTTAGACATGTTGGCACCGCGACTTGAACTTACAGTAGTGATGGCGACAGGAGCTTGCTGACTTGTTCGACTTGCTCCTTGATTCGAGCTTGCATCGCTGCTATTTCATCTGAGCCATTCGTGGATAATTTCTTGCTCAGCTTGAGCCGCTCCAGCATCGCCGTCGTTTTGGACTTGGCTTCCATCGGCATCACAGCCACTTGCGCCGCGGCATCCGCGGCATTCTTCAGTATGCTTGACGACGCGCGATAGTGCGCGGCAATGGGGGAGGCCCTGATCGACAGCTCGGCAGCCGCATCCGTCTCCAACTCAGAGCAAATTCCCTTCAATCTGACGCTGGCTTGGTCCACGTCCACGTCCACGTCCCGGCGGGGTCCGCGGGTGGTTGCCGCGAGCCGGTCCAGCTCACGGGCTGCCTCTTGCAGCACCGCTAGCAGGTGGGACACGTGGGCAATTGTGGTGATGGCCTTCATGATAATGTTCGGATCATTGCTAGTCGTTTGGAACGCAATGGAAGAATCTAATTTCTCACTTGCTGAGACGCAGCCAAGGCGCAGCCTCGTGAATGTCCGCCGCCGCCACCAGCTCACCAGCACTAACAAAAGGCCCTGGCTGAGAGAGGTAACATGCATAGGTGAGGTTGACGCACAAATCTCTATACTAAATAAGTAAAATGTATTTAAAGTTTTTTTTTTATAAATATTAGATATTTAGTACAGTTTATTAATTATTAGATTCTATTCAGAGTTCATTTATAATGAACTAACTGGAAAGCATTTTGTGGGAGTCTACCTATACACCCAGTTCGCGTCTAAGCATCTGGGAAGGTTATTTTCAGTATTCCATCTAAAACAATGAATAGGGCGACGAGAAGAAGTATCTTCTTCTGGAATGCAGGTTCTGTGCCACGGGGTTAGCTTGAAGTTTCTCCTGGCAGATACTCATGCAAGGGAGCAGCTCCACCAGTCAACGTCATCATCAGCCAGCCGCATTTTTCCACATAGATGATGTAGAGGTTTGTTATTGCCGGTAAATGCTCCAAATATACTCTGTATCGGAAGAGGAGCGGCGGCGACATACCTAGCATCTCCACGTGAGCAAATCCGCGGAACGTGGTGACGCGCACTTTGAGGCCTACGTAGAAGACCACATCAAACACCAAAGCCTGCGGGTACGTTAGAGGCGTGTCACGACCCCGTCCGGTAGCCGGGAAGTGAGATGAAGGGGTCACCCAGAGGATATCATCTTTCGCGGCGGCAATTCGCGAGCCCGAGATGCTCAGCATCAACCCATAGAGGCCCCAAGTGATCCATCCTCCCAGTATTTCGTCAGTGAGCAGGTAGTGGCGGAAAGAGCAACATTCGAGCCGGGAGAGGAACTAATAACGACTCGGCCGTCCATGTTCACGATGGTAGTACAAGGTCTACTTGCTTATCCGCCTACTTTTCTTGCCAACGTGCAATGATTACCAGGTAAGCGCTTAAGAAAGATAGAGGGTGAAAAGAGCAGGAAGAGCTGCGCCGATTGTTTTTTTATCTGGCCACGTTTTCTACAACTTGTAATGAGCGCCAGGCAAGCGCTTGAGAAAGACGGAGGGAAAACAAGAGGAAGGAGAGTTAGGGTGTGTGGAGGCTTTATACCGGTGGTGATCTTGACGCCGCGTATTTTTTTTTTTCGTGGCAGCTCGTGAAAGTAGCTTTGAACTTCAAAGTCAAACACGAATGATGGCCATATATACAAAGTATATAAGAAATTGAAATATCTTCTGTCAAATATAAAAGTGCAGCTGCGGCATAGCAGAGTACCCTGTGGAATCCAGATAATCTACATCGCACCTTCCTTCCTACACTCCAGAACAGCTCCTCGGTGAGAGTGCGAATCGAATTGTGCTGTTTACTCCCTCTTTTCCTCTTCTTCTTCTTCTTTTTCTCATAAAAGTTTAAAGCGATGGATAGCGAAATGCCGCAAATTCCCTCCAGGGTTTCACAGTTGTTGCTTCTACTGGGCACAATGTCCTTATTCTACCTTTTTTCGATACTCCTGCTCCTGCCCGTCTGGCTTTGCCGGTGGCTAAGCGACGAGAATCCCCAGCCACCGAGAGACGGGGAACCAACACCGAGTTTCCTTGTTGATACCCTCAAGAGAGCTATCAAGCCACTCCTGGTCTATGCGGAGATCTTGACTGGAACGGGGATTGGGTTCATTTGGGGGGTGGCACTCATTACGCCTTTGGCCTTACTATACAGGAATTACTAGATCCCCAGTCAACTCACCACACACAGAGCCGATGCAGGCCAGAAGTTGTGGACAATCTCCGACGCTCCTTGGTCCTCGGAGCTCAAGCGGAGGCCCTGCTTCCGCTCTGATTATTGTGTCTCGCTGGCCGGCGAGAAGCTATTTACGCTTCGAACACGGAGTCTCATCTCGATAACGGACTCCCACTTCGATAACGAAGCCCCATCTCGAACCCGGACTCACAGCTTCCACATCCCTCCGAATTTGGCACTCCTCCCCTTCCGTGGTGCATGCCAGCCAAGGGCCTAGGCACGATCTGATCGCGGCCTTTCAAAATCTGAACCTATGCTTCCACGCCATTTCTAATCTCTCTGTTTGCTTTGGCCAGTCGTATACCTATTCACCTAGTTTGAGACTTTGATGGATGGCGGGGGAGCAGACGAATCACACTCGATGTACGAATGGCAGTTTTGATGTGGAAGTATTAGATTAGATAGGGGGAAAGACGCTGCAAGAGGTATAGGTACTTCGAATTGGATAGTTACCGCAAGAGAATACTATAAAACTTGTCAGTCAATTTTGATATGCTCGGTACATTTTAGTTGCGAGAAGTCTATAGTTGTTGACAGCATGTTCATTGGGTCACAATTTTTAGTAGAGCTACTTTTTTTTTTCAACATCTTATTTCCTATCGTCATTACCTTGTTGCCTTTCTCGTCTTTGCTATATTGTCCAGCCATCTTCTATACCTATTCCTTTTATTTCTGCCCTACCACTTCCAACGCCGCAGAGGCCAGTGTCGGCTCTATTCCGTAGCACCTCTTTCGCGAAGCGCTCCGGCGACCTTTTCAAACCGGCACTTTCGCGCGCGGTCCAGGGCCGTATGCCCCGTCGTCCTCGCATTCACATCCACGCCCGCCTCGATCAGCAGCGCGATCTTCTCGACCGCATCCCGGCTCATCCCCGCCCACGAAGCCTCCGGGGTCCCCGCGGCCATGTGCAGCGCCGTCTCGCCGTCCTCGGTGCGCGCCTGCGCGTCCGCCCCGGCGTCCATCAGCAGCCGCAGCTGGCGGATGCTCCCGTGCGCCGCCGCGTACAGCAGCGGCGTCTCCCCATCCTTGTTCCTGGCCTCGATGTCGAGGCCGCCCGCGGCGAGCAGCGCCTCGAGGAGCTCCGCGGAGCTCTGCGCGGCGCGGTGCAGCATCGTGTTGCCCTCGTCGTCGAGTTTGTCGTCCGCGGACACGCGGGCGCCGCGGTCGAGGAGGAACGGGATGGAGGACGGCCCGTCGTCGAGCGCGACCTGCAGCACGGTGCGTCCGGCGTCGTCCGCGGCGTTGACGTCGGCGCCCGCGTCCAGGAGCACCTGCGCCACGCCGAGCGACTCGCGGCCGGCGGCCTCGTGCAGCGGTGACCGCCCTGCGCCGTCTCGGGCGTGCACGTCGGCGCCGGCGTCGACGAGGAGCTTCGCAATCTTGGGTTGCCAGTTCAGGGCCGTAGCGTGCAGGGGCGTGCCGCCGTCCTGGTTGCGGACGTTGACGTCGGCGCCGGCGTCGATGAGCAGCTTGGCGATGGCAAAGTGTCCGTTGGCGGAGGCCGTGTGCAGCGGCGCCACGCCGCGGCGGTTCTGGGCGGACGGGTTCGCCCCGGCGTCGATGAGGGCTTTCACGGACGGCTGGTTGGCCGACTCGACCGCGAGGTGAAGAGGCGTCAGGTCATCGCGGGATGCATCCACCGCAGAGACGTCAGCGCCACGGCCGATGAACCGCAGCACCTGCTCGGGATCCCCATACAGAGCTGCTTCTTCTAGTGTTGAGGCTTCGAGGTGTGGCTGTTCGGCTTCTGACTGGCCGCAGCGGGCACATGAGAGGCCCGACCCCTCGGGGGATTCGGCCATGGTGAGGTATTCGTCAAATACACCGATCTTAGGAACGCTGTTGTCAAGACAAGAGAGCGCTGCGCCGAGAAGGGCGAAGAAAAAAATCGTCTTGGTGAGCATTGTTTGGAGATGTTTGAGGGTAGCTCCCGCATGACTTTATATACTTCAACGCATGATAAGTAGACCCATTGTTCATTGCAGACATGATCAATGAGACGATACAAATCTATCGCCTTCGCTGCCTTGAGCCCCGTAAAAGATCCCTGTACATTAGGTAGTTTTGAGTTTGTTACTAGGCTGCCATCTTGACAGTGGGTAATCAAAAAGGCAGTCGTGAGCAAAGCGCAAATATTTTGTATGAGCCATATTGCCTGGACCTGAGAACAGCATTGATCGCCTGTGCTGCGCCCCCGTGAATACTAACACTATGTAGATGAGGCCTTTGGCATTGCTACCGACCTCTTTGGCTCGAGTTGTTGAGCAACGTGCGTAATCGGATGATTTCCACAGTGCGGTTTGAACATAGCGCGAAGGTAGGAAGGCAGAGCGAAGATCAGGCGAGGCTACAACGGCGAGGAAAGGGACAGAATCAAGCTTTGAATCACTAGCCAGGCTTGCAAGGCGGCTTATAGCTCTTCACTCAGTCATGAGTTAAAAGAGATCCGAAACGAAATTCTTCATTTCGAAATGGGAACCTCCCAGGCGCTCTAATCTGAATGGGTAATTGTACAAAAACGGAATCGTCAACCAAAAGCTTCCATCAGGAGATTATTATCTTAGTTGAAGTAGTAGTTCTCATCATTGGTGCGGCCGCGGATGTACTGCGGCTCCGAGCCGGGGACGTAAATGTCCTCGAACAGGATCTGCGGCTTGGCGTCGGGAACGGCCATCTCCTCGGCGGCGGCGACCTCGGTGGCAACGTGGTTTCGGGCCTCCTTGTCAATCTTCTTGAGCTCGTCCTCGGTGGTGATCTTCCAGTCGAGGATCTTCTGCTTGAGGCCGGCGATGGGGTCGTTGGTCGAGCGCATGCGCTGAATCTCCTCGCGGGTGCGGTAGGTCGTGCCGGGGTCCGACATGGAGTGGCCGCCGTAGCGGTAGGTGACGTACTCGAGAACCATGGGGCCCTTGCCCGACGTGGTCCACTCCTTGCCGTACTTGACGGCGGCCTTGACGGCGAGGACGTCCATGCCGTTGACCTTGAGGCCGGGGATGTACTGTCCGCGCTTGTAGTAGTCGGTCAGGGCAGACGAACGGGCAGCAGAGGTACCCATGCCGTATTTGTTGTCTTGAGGATGTTAGCAGCTTGAGCTGAGGTCATGACGCAAGGTTCAACTCACTCTCGCAGCCGAAAAGGGCAGGGAGGTTCCAGAGCTTGGCCATGTTGAAAGCCTCAAAGACCTGGCCCTGGTTGGAGGCACCGTCACCGTAGAGAATGACGGAAGCGTTCTTGTTGCCCTTGTACTTGTGGGCGAATGCGAGGCCAGCACCGACGGGGACCTGGGCGCCGACAATGCCGTTGCCGCCGTAGAAGCCCTTGGAGAACATGTGCATGGAGCCACCCTTGCCGTAGGCGATACCCTCGCGGCGACCGAGGAGTTCGCCGATGATGGATCGGACGGCGCCGCCGCGCATCAGAGCGAAGCCGTGGCAGCGGTAGGCGGTGATAATATCGTCCTCCTTGGTGAGGGCATGCTCGATGCCGGTGGCGACGGCCTCCTGACCAGTGGACAGGTGGCAGAAACCACGAATCTTCTTCTCCTTGTACAGACGGTCGGCGGCCATTTCCATTTGTCTAGGGGCGTCTGCATTAGCCTCAATTTGCATACGGCGCTGGCATGAGCATCGGCAGATGATGTAGTATGCATTGATTCGCCGCGCTAGCATGTATCGTGTCGTTCATACCTGATGCTGACCATGTCGTAGTACATCTGCTTCAGCTCCTTCTTGGACACCTCGATGGTGTAGGGAGGAGGGTCCAGCTCGTAGGTCTCGAAGCTCTCGTCCGAGAGGTTGACGAGGAAGTGCTCATCCTCGGACTATTTGATAATGAGAACACGACGTTAGCAATGCTGTCCAAGCTCGATTGAAGCATTCTTTTGCCTCATCAGCGACCGTGCTGACAGCCCCGTCTCCGAAATTGTCGCTTTCCTTGGCAGCACACGAAAGAGGCGCTCCCACTCCAATCCGACTCGGTGTTATCGGAATAGAGAAAAGGTAGACATCCAAAAGCAGAATTGCATACCTCGGGAACATTGGTGCTCAGAGACGCAGAGGCCGCATCGGTGGTGACGGAGCGAGCGGCGACGGCTCCAAGGCGAACAGGAGCAGCGGCGACAGCCGCCCGGCGGAGCGCCACGCGGGGAGCGGAAAGAGCTCTGGAGAACATCGTTTGAGACAAGTCAAATAGGGATTGACTTGAGGAGGATAACGATGCTGCAAAGGAGGGCCGTGGAAGAGAGGAATTGAGGTTGCAGGGATGGGGGAAAGAAGAAAAGGCACGCAGCAGGAGGTTCCTCTAAATTTCGCGCTGGTTGAGCGTTGAGAGCTCTGCTGCTGCGCTTGTTGGTCCCCTGCTAGCCTGAAGAGGTCTAGCGCTGCACTCACGTGAGGCGGTATTTGTAGCAGGGCCCGCCATCGGCCCGGCCATAAGTGCGCCAAAATGCTTGCGAGAAAAAACTCCCCTGACCCTCCGGTGGGCTCCGGGCGCAAGACAAGGCCAAACCCGATATTTCGTCTGATAAGCCACCATTTGGCGGCGATACTATGGGGCTGTACTTGTGAGGCAAGGTAGCTATGTAACCTTGACCACCACTCGGTGGCCAAAACATATCGCTGGTGCTCTAACAGAGGTGCTAGCAAACTCGGCGAATTTCCCCTCACACAGCGCTGATAAAATTCTAAATTTAATACTATAAAACTCTATAGGTATTAGTGTGTATATCTGCCTATTTTTATATAGACCTTTTGTGTTAAAACTAGCATTTATCGCTTATTAGCCTAAGCCACTTCCTAGCCACCGACGATGTATTTTACCACCAACGCTGAACGCTGCCTTTCGAATGGTTGGTTTCACAATTTGCATAACCTTACGGTGTCTGGTCGATAACAAGTTATCCACAAATACCTGCAGGCTGTAGACACTGCCTAGCACCATCATCACTATCATCGCTACCAAATCGAACGACCACGCGTATTAACAAGCCAACAGTTGGAATCATGTTTCATTGGTGAGTATGGCAAGTGCCGGGTGCATAGTTCTATTCCTAACCTCCATGGGTAAATATCTTTCCGCTTACTGCGCACCACCGGCAGCCAATGGTATAATCCATTGTATCACGTCCCAATGTTGGGTTTGGGTGCTTATTGTATGCCGTCTCCCAGCGAAAATGCAAATATTTTCCCCAAAATGCATATTATAGTAAAGCAACGCTAACATCATGAGCGTCCAAAAAACCTCCTTCACCTGAAGCTTCCAAAGTATACAACCGCGCCTTGCTTAAGACAGTGAAACTCCACCCGCTGCGCTGGCAACGACCTCAAGTCCACTTGCAGAATGCCATTAATTAAAGAGGAAGAATTCTTTCGTATCCTGCCCTTTTCGATATTCTCGCTAGGCCATGTCGCCCATTAAATTCTCGAGTTGCGGTGGCAAGTCTCTCTCTGGTATCGAGGCCGTAGAGAGTGACACATCTTCCATATCCACGTCTTGACTCAATGAGGCTCGACTCGACTCGCCTGACTCAATATCATGATATCTAAAGGCCAGGGCACTAAGCGGGCGGCTGGGTTCATCTTGCAGCACATGATGATGTAGAGACAGCGGTCGGTCGTAAAGCATCTCCTCCGGTGGAGAAAAGGACCAAACTTCCATGACAGTGCGGCCATTCCGCAGTGCCATCGCGACACACTTTTCCTCCTCAAAGGCAACACGCCAGACGGCGTCGCCCTGAGATATCAACTCGCGCACGAGGTGGCCAGTCTTGAGATCCCAGATCTTGACGCGACCGTCGCTACCACCACTGACAACTCGGGTGTCATCAAACTGCAAGCTCGTGACGCTGTTGTCGTGCGCTGCAAGCCTGTGGATGGGACACATCCTTTCCAGTGACCATACTCTGACGGAGCCATCTGAGCCGCCAGTAACCAGTGTATCTCCGCGCATTTGTAGTTGGCCCACCAGGGAGGTATGGCCTTGAAGAATAGCGAGGCACTCGCCAGTTCTCGGGTCCCATACACGGACGTTGGTATCCAGACTGCCCGTGACCACGCGCTTGCCGTCAAAAGCAATGGCATAAATCTGACTGAAATGCCCCTGCAGAGTCTGCAAGCACCGCCCCTCCGAGATGCTCCAAACACGGGCGAATGTATCGTAGCTACCAGACACAACAATGTCTCCCTTGATTTCGAGACAGCGGACGCTCAACTGATGCCCCAATAGTACATTACGGCAAAGGCCTGTTCTGATATCCCAGATTCTGAGCGTCGTATCGCGCGAGCCGGAGATTGCTGTATGTTCGTCGGCCATTTTCAGACAGCGGACAGTAGATGTGTGTCCTCGTAGAGTGTGCAGACAGGCACTGTCATGGTCAGTTTGGGATATCGCTTTGCGACATGATTGGTCATGACTTACCCAGTCTTGAGATTCCAAACGCGGACATCCCTATCGCAGCCACCACTGACCATGGTGTCGCCCCAGGGAACCATGGCCCAGACGCCCATGACATGGCCCTGGAGTGTACGCTGGGAGTTGCCGTCTGTGTCGAAGACGTGAATCTTGGCATTATCAAGAGCAACGATGATGTATTTTTGAGTAAGGTGCAGACTGGTGACGACGCCACCCTCTTGTGTTATATTCTTTACGGTACTGGTGCCACCGGACCGCCATGCGGCTTCGACGAGATATCGTTGCTTGAAGTGCGACTTGTAGGTTCGTAGTTTGGGCCGGCGGGGAAATCCGTCCATACTACGCGAGCCGGTGTGATGGCCCATGAGCGGCATGGCACCGGAGAAGCTGCTCGCCATTTCGGAATCGGTCGCGGGTATTTGAGCGGTAGGCCGGGTTGGGATGGCCGAGGCAGCGTACACTTCCGATAACCGTCGTCCGTAGTCGTGCTTGACACAGAGATTCTTCCACGTCATATCGTCGCTGAGGAGATCACGCCATCTTTTGGAGACTTGGGAAGCGCGGGCCAAGACTTTGGGATCGTCGATGAAGGACAATATCTGTGACAAGTAGGATTAGAAATAGGGCATGGTGGTGGAAACGGGAGTTGCAGTTGCATACTCTGAGGCACAGCTCATCGGGAAGACTTGTAAATGGATCTTTTTTCAACAGTGGACTGACAAACTGATGCACAAAGCTCAGCTGCTGACTGGTGCAAAGGTTGAGCAGATCGGCGAGGACTCTTGTACGCTGCGGGCCGGAGCAATTCTTGAAGTGCTGGCGGACCTTGGCAAGGAAGAAGTCCTCATCATCTGCGGCGTCACTCCAGTCAGGCTGGTAATGTGACGGGCCGGGCGAGGCGGCTGGCGTAGGCGGCGGTGGCGGCGAGCCGGTGAGCTGCTGATCAAAGTCGGCAGCAGGTGTGGACATGCTGGGCGTGGGCGGCCCTTTGGGGTGCCGTTGCGTGGGCACTTTGTCGTCGACGTGGTCCATAACTGTGTCGGGGGCGGTGTTGAGCATGAGCTCCTCGGCTAAGAGACTCCCTCTCCTCTCGGAGAAGCCGATGGGTTTCTTGTATCCGGTCATTGGCCGCCGGGGAGGGGACCGACCGAGGGAGGAGGCGTCGCGGCGGAGGCGGGTGGCGAGAAGAGATCGGGACACGATCCGGGTAAAGAGTGGTCGGGACAAGGAGATGATGAAGAGGCGGAAGAGGAGGAAGAAGAAGAGAGGATGGCAACGTTGATTTTGTGTTGAGCAGGAGCGGCTAGGGCGGCGATGTTAGAGATTCGACGAGGGATGGGTGGCCAAGGAGAGAGCGAGCGGGCCGGCCGAGTCAGGCTTTTAGCATGCATGCAGCCAGAGTCAGTAAGAGGGCAGGGAGAGAAAGTAGAAATCGGGTACGCAGCGGCAGGGCAGGCAATGTCGTTGTGGTTATTGGGCCGAAGGAGCGTTGGGCGGTAAAAGGCGGTAGGGAGGGTAAGGGCAGGAAATAAATGGTAGGAAACTTGGAAGAGGCGGAGGAGAAAGTGTTGGCGGGCTTCGGTTGGATTAGATGCAACCATCGAGGGAGCCGGCAGTGCCAGTGCAAGTTAGTACGGAGTTAGTACCTGGGCCAATGAGTTGACAGCAGGTGAGGACCCAAGTGGGCGCTGGGCACTGAGCGCTGAGAGCACAGGCAAGCAAGTATCGTGGCATGTCGGTGGCACCAGATTAGTATCAGCATCCAGATATCATCAGGTGCTTGGGAAAATCATTATGCCCAATTCTTAAAAATCGCCCTAATAATAATTTTCCCATAATTATGCGTTCTTGCTTTTTTTTCCGCTCAGCGTTTGCGAGAACTCGATAGCTGTAGTTACTTCATCTCGTCTGCTCATGGAAGTACCTATCTCCCTTGGTACCTGGCTACCTTGCCTCAGAGGGGCGTCCATTGGGCGCTTGCTCAGGGTCGAATTGCCCATTCGCCATTACTACTACCAGGTAGCACATCCACCATCCACCATCCACCATCCACCGCGACACTCGCCGCAAGTCTACCCGTAGCCCGGGATGGATCACAGGGAGCCCCGATTAAGTGCGGGACAATCTCGACTGTCTTGAACGGGCTGGGTGATCTTGTCTGAGGCGCCAGGGCCTGGTGAGGGCGGTTGCTACGGGCGAGACCCGTCAACGCATGCGGACGAAGACATGCATGAGGCACGAATACACAGGCAAACGAACACATGAATTTACGGATACTCAAGCGCAGAGTTTCGGCCGGCCCGCTTGACAACTGCGCAGAGCTGCACGCCGCAGGTGGGAAAAGGCAAAGCACACAAGAGGCGGGACTTCCCCTGATAACTAGCCTATAGACGGAGAGGACTCCGGAAACACAATACCAACTACATAGCAAAGCCTTTGTCGACGAGTTCTCGGGCCCTGGTTCCTTCACACTACAAGTCAAGGGAAAGGGGAAAAAAGGTCCGTGTCCAGGCGGATGAGCCAGATGCTGGCGCCGTTTGTGTCTCTTGCGGCACAGGGGGGCCTCTTGGCGGATACCCAAAGCGTCAGTTGAGTAAACCCCGCTGGTCAAGACTGAAGGAACGCACAAAGGACTATCCGAGTGACATTGATGAAGAGAATGACCTCCTGGCTCAGTAAGAGATCTAACGGCGAGATGGGCTCAGCGTGAACCGCGGGGCGTGATAGCCCTACATACCTAACTTGGTAGTTAGCCGCCTGGGAAACCACCCCCGTGAACCGCCAAAGGACGACCGAGACAGCGATAAAACTGTATAATACACCTTCACTCCATCGGCGGCGTACAGTCTCATACACCACTTGTCTGAAGCCGCAACTGTATTCGACAAGAAGCCTGGTGTTACCGAGAACGGAGAAGAGAAATCAGGCCATACATCATCTCCTGGCTTGCTTTCGAGACAGGAAGCTTCAAACTTTGCCAATCACCCGTCTAAGCCACTCCGGGCGCTCTCATGCGCTTGCCCGCCGCCGCCGTCGGCATAAATAGAACGAGGCTTGTTATTAATAACCAAAATGCAAAGGATAAGGAACCAAAAAAAAAAGCCTCCGCTACGTCAATGCCATTTTCAATGTCCAGGCAAACAAGCGAGCACCGACATCAGCTGGTGTTCCCCTGGCGAAAGGGGTCCAACCAAGGCTGTAACATGAACATGGTCTGACGACGCTCGGCCCGTCCAGTTTTCTCTCTCTCCATTGCGCTCGGTAGGCGCCTTGTTATTGACCGTCACCGCCCGCCAAGTCATCAGATATCAGATGTGCTACTGCAGACACTATATAAGATTTATTTCGTATTCACCTCACCAGATAGCTAGCATTTCAGTCCACGTCTGCACGTCTTGTTTGAATCTCTACACGCCATGCGCTGAGAAGTGGGCTCAGGTCAGACATTCCCTTGCCAGCACGCGTCACATCATATGCATTTCACCCTTTTTGTTCCAATATTCGGCACCGGAGATGCATCCACCTGCACAGATCATCTCCCCGTTTGACTGTTCGACTATCCGTTGAATCCCCGTCACTTGACTTCCCGTCCCGTCCCAGCCTCTCCCCTGCCGTCAAAGCTCGGGCCTTTGGCTCCTGCGCTGCATACACCAACTCATCATGTTTATCGTTCTTCGTCTTCTACCAATGCCACTGTGTATTTGAACGCCCCCCCACCCCCATTTTTGTTTGCACTTGAATACATGCAGTTGACCATGTGGTTCAGATTGCCCTCGAGCGCCCCCCCCCCCCCCCCCCCCCCCCT